AGTGGATAATAACAATAAAAATAACAACAACAAATAGACCCTTAGAGTTGAAGTTCAGCCTTTTAGAATAATAAACACTATTATAGACATAATTAATATAACCGAAGCCAAAATTTTAATTTACATTTAAAAAAATAAAACTTATCTTGAAATCATGCAACATCAATATAATTATTTCTATAAATTTTTGACCAGGACTATGTGGTCTAATGGTATCGGGTTGGACTTCCATTTGGAAGATTGTGAGTTCGAGCCTCAGTCGAGGTGTTATTGGCTTTATGTAATAGAGCTAGTAACATTCAAAAAATCTCTATAAATTTTTGAAATACTCATGATTTTTAAAATTAATTAATTTTATTTTAAAAGTATCACATCGAATATATTTTTTTTTTTAATGTTACTGACTCTATCACATCAAATAATTTAAATAAACAACTCTATCAATTTCTATTATTTATTTCAATTACCGATAAATCTAACCTAAATATATAACATTAATATAACTGGTTAACATGGAATGCCTTGTGACTATACATAATTAAATATATTATATTAGTATAATATATACTCCGTAATATATTAGACTTTTGTGTTCTAAATGTTGTTTTGACAAAAATCTAAAAACATAATAAGTGTGGATGATGGTTATACACTTATACCCTTCATTTATGTCCATTTTTTCCGTTAAGTTTTTTTATACATTATGCTATAGAAGTTGTACTTTACAATATTTTGGACAAACATACCCCTACCGTTATAACTTCCGTTATCTTTTCCACTATTGTTACCATGCACATACATCCACTATATATTTCCTTATCTTCTTCTTCTTCTTCTTCTTCTTCAATAATAATAATAATAATAATAATAATAATAATAATAATGTAAAATACATTATTATTATTATTATTATTATTATTATTTACAATAATTTAAATATCTAAAATCTAAATAATTTTAAATTTTAATATAAAGTACTAATATTGGGCACCTATTTTTTGCGCATCGCGCATAAAAATACTAGTAATAATAATACAAGTAATAAACAATAATTGACCACTTAAGCAATTTGAAATGGTCAAAATGTACATATTCTTTTAGGTGACAAGAAGAACGTACTCACAAGAATCATACATTCATACTCCACATGTTTAACAATTGACCACTTAAGCAATTTGATATAGTCAAAATGTAAATAAAAAATGTACATACTTTTAGGTGACAAGAGGAACTCACAAGAATCATACTCCACATATTTAACTACTTATTTCAAATCATTATAATTATTATTTTTTTTTTCAATACTTCATAGAGATGTGTTTAAGATTGATATTTTAGACAAAATAATTATTTTATCCAAAATGCCCTTACACCAAAATAATAATAATAATAATAATAATAATAATAATAATAATAATAATAATAATAATAATAATAATACTAATACTAATTATTATTATTATTATTATTGTTGTTGTTGTTGTTGTTGTTGTTGTTGTTGTTGTTGTTGTTGTTGTTGTAAAATGGCTCTCAAAGAAAAGGCTTGACGCCCATTTTATAGAGGATTTTAAGATTCTTTGCGATATTATTTTTCTTAAAGTAACATAACTGTTAAACTTCATTAATTTTTACCTCATATATGGATATTTTACAAAATTTTATATGTTTTTTAAATTATTATAACCCTCATCAATATCGATATTTCATACCCAAAAAACCTTAATTTTAATAGGTTTGTGTAAATGAAAAAATGGATGCTATATTGCAATTGAAAATGGAAAACTTTTGGAATAAGGTTGTTAATTATTTTTGTTTTGCAAATGAAATAATGAAACTAAAGCGATTACGAATAATAATAATAATAATAATAATAATAATAATAATAATAATAAATTACTAATATACCATATACTAAGTAAATCCTTAATATAGTTTGGTGGTTCCGAGGGTATGTGAACAAGTATTGGGGGGGAGGGGGGGGGGGGAGTGACTACAATTAACAATTTTAGAGAGAATTTGAATGTTGTGGAGTCTTCTAACTTTGACTATAATCAACATTTCATACAACTTTGCTGATTGGGTATCTTGACTAAAAGTCGGCTTGAATCAATTATTCAGTTGATTTACCTTATGTGATTTCTTACTTCACGTAGTCTTTGGACCATTCGGCCTTTGTATCTTTCGAGTTTTCAATTCTTCGGCTTCTTACCCTCCGCCATCTTGACTTCTCAAATCTTTAACTATTCGAACTATTCGAAATTTAAATGATTGTTCAATTAATTATACTTTTATGATTGATACTATCCGATTGATTTGTTTTCTGGGTGGTATAGTTCACACTTAGAGCATCACCAATAGTAATTTTTAGGAAATATTTTTCAAAACAAAAAATTTGGGGTAGAGTTTTTAACTTATGGGGGTGGGATTTTTTTTTTTACAATTTTTTTTCTCTTGCAAAATAAAAATAAAAATAAAAAATTTGGGACCCATTGAATGGGGATTTGGGAGAAAGCTGCCATGCAACTTGTGCGTGTGTGGAATTGCCCCACCTAGCATGGCGCGTGCAGTAGGCTTTTTTTTTTTTTTTTTTTTTTTTTTTTTTAACTTTTTTCTTGTCAGGATTTTTCCTCTTCTCTCTTCTCGTTCTTTTTTACATGGCACTAAAAAGTCACCAAAATTTTTATATTATTGAGGTTGCTCTTACGGAGGAGTTTGCATACAACGAATAAAATTCTAAATTTAGAAAATATAAAAGAAGTGTAGACTTAAATTCCTAATTAATACAAACAATTCATAACATTTTTTCCAGGGAAAATGACACTTTTTCTCCCTATGTTATATACTTATAGCACTTTTTTTCCCTCAATTATTTATGTAAGCACATTAGCCTCCTCAATTATTTTAAAAGTGGTGGTTTTCTCCCCTAATATATTAAATTGACATTTCTACCCTTAAAGTAAACATTTTATTTATTTTACTTCTCCAACAAATTATTGCGTATATGTAGCGATTACCACGGTTCGGTTCGAACTGAACCAGACACTATAGCAATCGAATTAAAAGTTTTCAGTTATGATTCAGATTTAGAACCCAATATTTGGATTTAAATTTATTAAATTTAAGAATAAAAAAAAAAACTGGATCATGAACCGGCAGTTCCGGATCCCGTTCGCGATTTTGAACCGTCTTTATTTTAAAATTTTATTTTTTATTTTAAAATAGTTTAAATTCAACTATAAATGTATTTTATTTTTTCAGTTTGGAACATGAACCGGCCATTCCAGTTCGCGATTTTAATAAACTCTAAATATCGCGTTTTGATTATAAATTGTAATTGGAATATTTTGGTTTGGTTACCATAGTATCTGGTTTGAACCAAATTATAGTAATAATTTATTGGAGAATAAAAATAAATGAAATATTTATTTTAAGGGTAAATATGTCCATTTAACATTTCAGGGGGAAAAAGAGCCACTTAAATAATTGAGGGGGAAAAAGTGCTATAAGTATATAACATAGGGGGAAAAAGTGCCATTTTCCCTTTTTTCCATTTTCTATTATTTTATCGCTGATTTGAAACAATATTGTCAACTTTGACATTTTTCATTAATGTTTCGATGCATAAATTGAGAAATAATAAAAAGTTGCACGTATGGACTTAGTTCACTAGTTTAGTAGACTTTATTTGAGAAAAGAGATCAAAGTTCAAACATCGGTAGCGACCGTGTGGGGATTGTCCTGTCTGCTAAGCCTCGCCTTGCTAAGACACCATGATTTACATCCTTCCAAATGCTCTGTTGGACCCTCATGATTTCTATCATCTCAAATGCTCTGTCGCAACCTCGCATCGGAGTGTAGAGAGCCATTGGTGTTGGAAATTCAACCTTTTGGGAGAAAAAAATAATAATAATAATAAATGCTTCATGTACTCCCTACTTCCAAATTTTACTTCAACTTGTGTTCAAATTTGATTGGAAGAAAAAAAAAAAAGGGAAAATGACATTTTTTTCCTCTGAGTTATATACATATAACACTTTTTCTCCCTGAATTATTCATGTAAGCACATTAGGCCCCTCAAATTTTTCTAAAAGAGGCGATTTCCCCCTGATAAATTAAATTGACATTTCTACCCTTAAACTAAACATTTTATTTATTTTTCTTCTCCAACAAATTATTGCATATACGTCGGGATGACCACGGTTTGGTTCGAACTGAATCGAACACTATATCAATCGAATTAAAAGTTTTCGGTTATGATTCAGATCAAGAACGCAATATTTGGATTTCAGTTTATTAAAATTATGAATCAAAAAAACTAGATCCTGAACCGTGAACCGTCAGTTTCGGATCCGGCGCGATTTTGAACCGTCTTTATTTTAATTTTTTTTTATATTTTAAAATAGTCTAAATTCAACAATAAATTTATTTTATTTTTTTCAAAGTTCGGAACATGAACCGGCCGTTTCGGTTCGCGATTTTAATAAACTCTAAATATCGGGTTTCGATTCTAAATTGTAATTGGAATATTTGGGGTTGGTTGCTATAATGTCTGTTTGGTTTGAACCAAATTATGGTCCTAATTTGTTGGAGAAGAAAAATAAATGAAATTTTAATTTTAAATATTTATGTTAAGGGTAAATATGACCATTTAACATTTCAAGGAGAAAAACAACCACTTAAATAATTCGGGGAGGAGTGAATAGTGATATAAGTATATAATTCAGGAGAACAAATATTATTTTCCCAAAAAAAATAAAGAAATAGATTGACCCCTTACTAAATTAAGCAATCAAGACATGACATATCGGGAATAACATTTGGGAGTTGAATTACTGAATAAAAAGTTATGATCTATTTGATTTTTGAAATTAATAATCAAAATATACAGAAGTAGTAAACTATGGTGGAGATGATAACATCACGTGCTGGAATCTGGAGGGGTCGCTTTCTGCTTTAATTACAGGGAATAACGAAATGACGTCTGCGATTTAATCTTCTCATTTGGTGGCTACATATTTCCTCAGCTCCTCTTTCTGTCGCCATTTCATTCCATTCTCCGCCGCCGCAACTTGCCACACAACAACCGCCAAATCTCTGAAAAAGCACCCAACTTGCTTTATCCCGGGAAGATTATTTGTTTTTTCTTCTGCGTTTTCCGTTTTCAAGATTCTTTCTTTGAACTTGGAGTTCATAATATATATATATATACATATATTCGTCGAGAAATGGAGAGAGATTTCATGGGCTTAACTGTAAAACAGGAGATTCTTGAAGAACCAACAGATCCAGGTATGCCTGCCTTTTTCTTTTTTCCTTTTCTTTTTGGGGGGGTTTTATTTCTTGTTTCTTGAATTTGGCGATTGGGTAGCTGTAAAAAGCTTAGTTCAAGCTTGAAACTTGAAGCTCATCAGAGGTTATGGAATCGAATCGACAGAAAAAAAAGCTCCGACCAAACCTGCGATCATTATGTTTGTGAATAAACCTCAATCAGTGTTTTGCTTGTGAGGAAGAAGCTAATTAATCAAGATTTTGTTTGGTGTTTTTGGGCTGCCAAACAGCTCTTAATGAATATGTGCTTTTTCTTTGCTCAACAGTTTTTTTAGGTGCTACGGGGTTGGTGCTTGACAACTACTGTGTAGTTTTTTATTATTATTTATTATTAACTTACTCCCCATCAAACATAGTCTTGTTCACGACGTCAAGTGCAAATAATTCAAATGGATAATAAACAAAGTCATTTTTATTTATTAGTCATCCAAACAGGGGCTAGGATTTTCATGTGCATTTTTAGTCCTTTATTTTTTTTTTTTGAAAGGAATCCTTTATTTAAATCTGCATTATTTTATTATGGGGAAAAAGGAGCTGTTGGTTTCGTGACTCGGAATAGTCACTAGGCAGGTTAATATAACTGATCGAATGAACGTAAAATGTAAAAAATAAATAGAAGTAATTTGAAAGGTAAAAGGAAAATACAATTCATTTTTTTTTTTTTAAGTAATTCGTACATACAGTCATACACGTAGTGTCCTTGTTCTCTCTAAAGTGATGGAGCCTCCCCTCTCTCTCGTTTTCTCCCTTCTTATAGCCCAAAGAATACTAGATGGTGATTAGGGGTATTCTTCCAAAAGGCTGAAACCCAATCGTAAGGGTCCCGACAGAGCATTTGAGAGGATGTAAATCATGGTAACTCAACTGAACATGAACCACAGAGGCTAGATCGATGCTCGCACAAGGAACCCCTCACTTTGAGAGGTTGGTGATTAGGGGTATTTAATGGATATTAATAAGGTAACTAATAGAGAAATTATTAGGATTTATGGGTAATAAATGGGATAATAAATGAATAATAATTGCGTAATAAATTGGAGGTTATGAAAGGATGATTAGGGAGGTACGTCCCGAGTGTTGCTGAGTTTGAGGCCTGACTGCCTATTAGGTGGGCAAATTATGTTGTGCAACCGTGTGCATCATGTATAGTGCACACGGTTGTAAAAACGATGTCGTTTTAACTAAAAATGCGCGTCCTACTTAAAAAAAAAAAGAAGAATATTCAGGTTAGTTTCTCGGCAATAGCATTTTTTGTGTGCATAATTTGAATTATATATCCACAATGAATGAATTAAATATCCACAGTGAATGAATAACTAAAAATCCAGAATGAATGAACTAAATATCCACAATGAATGAACAACATAATGTTGTTGAGGGGAATCAAAACTAATTTTTTTTAAAAAAAATGGGACGTGCGTTTTTAGTCAAAACGACGTCGTTTTGCAACCGTGTGCACCATGCATGGTATCCCTGACCATATTTGGTCCTTGAGTTCCAGGTATAGACTTTGACAGAGTTTATTTAAGAGCTTTTTATTTTTTAATAAGTTATAATCTCTATTTGGTAAAGTTCTAAAAATAAACTAATAACTTAAAATAATCTCTATTTTTTATCATTCACTTGTTCACGTAGAAGTGGGGTCTGATTGTTGACTTGGTATTGGTCTTTTTGGTTTGAGTTGATCAATTATTGAGGTTGATTTATCTCCTTGTAGTCTTTTGTCAACTAAAGTCACAAGGCAATTGGTGCACACCCTAAGTAGTAAAAGCTTAAATAGGGATTGGTCATTTTAGTTAACATTGTTAGATTTGAACGGAAATTCAATAAAAAATTTAAAAGGGAAGGGTAACAAAAAGACCAAAACCCCATTTGGGGAATAAGTGAATAACCAAGAGATAATTGTGAGATAAGACACTAAGTAAGTATAACTCAAGGACCAAATATGTTCTTTTTCCTTTTATTATATTCCATTATGGCTTTTTTTTTTTTTTTTTTTTTTTTTTTTTTTAATACTAAAAAATGAGAAAATTTAATTGCACTGCACCAACTTCTCTTTTAATTATTAACTCATGGGTAATAAAATCAATTGGTTTGTGTTAAGGGAGTGTAAAGATTGACATTTTCTTTTGATGTTCTGATGTATTATCAGTAATAGTTCAAAGTTCCACAATACGACGATCATTGTCCAACAAAATGTCTGCTCCTCTTCACTACCATGCATCAACTGGACCAGTAATCATAACAAGTGCAGAAACTGTTGATTATAGTCTCAAACCATATTCACGAGTTCCCCAGGTATAGTGAAAGTTTACGCCTTATATTATCAGTACAAAGACTATGTTCTGGTCTAATTGGTTGCGTTCCAGAGTATATTCCTTAATTTTCATTAGTTTTTAGTTTTTAGTTTTTACTCCTGTGAATTGCAGAAAAATATGGTTCTTGAGAAACTGGGGGGAATCCATTATACACACTCGGTTCTTTGCTCTCATGAAGTGAAAGCTGCTAGACAGAACCAGCTCGGTTTTGTTCAGAATCCCGTGTCTATGGTTCCTGCTAGTGGTGCTATAGTGGGCACTACTGAATTACGGTATGCCTTTGGACACAATAATACTCTATTTCGATTCTGTAATGCACATATGTAGTGGCTAAGTTGAATTGGATCTGTTCTGTAGGAATGATTCTCATGCCTCGAATGGTCCTGCTCAGTTGACCATCTTTTATGCTGGTTCGGTGTCTGTTTACTCCAATGTTTCTCCCGAAAAGGTAAATCCTCGAATTCTCTCAAGGATTCAGAGTTTCTGTGATATTGCAAGGGCTTAATATGAGTGAGTGTGTTACTTAGGCTCAAGCTATTATGTTGTTGGCGGGAAATGGGAAACCTGCTGCTTCTCCAGCTCAAGGAGCGGTTTTGCCAAGGCTTCCCATCATTGACGGTTTTGCTGTAAACCGAGACGATATCAAAGCAGCATGTTTCCCGAGTCCCATTTCTATAACGCCCTACGCCATTCCACAGTCTGCTGCAGGCTCGGGTAGCTCTAAGGAAGCTACTGCTGTGAAACTGGCTCCATCAGGTACGTTTTTACGCTCTGGATTGCATCTGATCCTTTTTACACATATATATTGCCATAATGGTTTCCAATTTCTTCCATTGTAGCAGTGCCTTTAGCTCGCAAGGCTTCTTTGGCTCGGTTCCTTGAGAAGCGCAAGGAAAGGTAATTGTCACTACATATTGAAAGTATAAGAGAGAACATATGAGTTTATAAGGCTATGCGTTAGACTAGCTAATTGATTGGATTCAGTCTTTTAATGTGGTTTGGCCCATGTTCATTATAGCTCAGTTGAGTGATCTTAGCCCAATCTGATTTCTGCATTATCCAGGGTAATCAGAGCATCTCCTTATGCAAACAAGCACTCCCCGGAATCTGACAGCATAACTTATCCCGCGAATTCATTGAGCTCGTTTCCTCTGGGCGCTGCACATTAGTTTGAAGATTGAAAGCGGGTAAAACAGCCCGACCCCTTCACAAATACTGGTTGAAGGGCTGTTGTACCCATTGTATTCTTTTTTTTTTTAAAAGTGTACCCATTGTATTCTTGATGACCTAAGTTCTAGATATCTGATAGATATATATGAAGCTGGCATGGTCCTTTATTTTTGTGGGTTCCCAAAACTTCTCAATCCCACTATCTATTCTTTGTCTGTCAAATTTTTCATGTAATATGGTGTTGCTTTCTGAAGCAGATATATTGGTGCTGGCATTTGGCAGTTTGTATATTGTAGCCAACACCATCTTGCTCTTGTATTATTAGTTTGTAAAGTGCATTCTAAAATTATTATTAAATGACACTGTATCATATTACTTATATTGTGTTTTGAATCTTTCTACTCAAACTCCTTACACTTGAGTCAAAAATTTTCTTTTCGGAGTAAATTACTCTAAGCAAAATTTTAAACTTCTATCCAAATAGAGAAGTCGGCATAAAATAAGAGTTTCTATATTATTAAATCTTTTCATTTAAATAACAAATTATTGTTATTATTATTAAATATCAGAAATTTGATTATTCTAAAAAAAAAAAAAATTGATTGTATTCTTTTGTGTTGTGCTCTAGGAGAGTGCTTTCACTCATGCACAACATCGTGTGCACTATAGGATGTCTCTAAAATCGTACGCACACTTCACACTCATACATTACAGTGTCTACACTCTAAAATTGCATTGTGCACACGCTCACATTAAAATGCATAGATACACATCATGCAAGTACATATATGTATTATAGTGCACACACATCACGTGAACACAAAGTGCGAACTAGTACACGACAATGTGCACACATACGGCCAGAACCCAACAACGAGGAATGATAGTGCAAATGCTAAATGCACTCTCGCATTTTTACATGTGTAATCTTTTAATACTAAATGTACAAAATATTAATATTAAATGTGCAATATATTAATACTAAATGTGTAAACTAGACAAATTATAAGAACGTCATATTTTACAGGGCGTTTGGTTGGAAGTAAGGAATTAGGGTGGAAAGGAATTGCAATTCGGTGGGAAAAGAATAAAGTGAGAATAAAGTAGGAATTCAAATTACATTGTTTGGTAGGGATGAATAGAATTATTGGGTAGGGAATGAAAGAATTGATATAAAGACTAAAATGTCCTTGTGTAATAATAATAGTAGTAGTAATAATTAAGGGTACTTTTGTCATTTCATCCCTTTTTTCTTTTCCCACAACCACCGAATTGCAATTCATAGGGGGGTGCCCATGAATTGCAATTCAGCAAAAGGAGGGAATTGCAATTCCATCCAACCAAACGGCGTAATTGTGGCTTCCACTGAATTACAATTCAACTACAGCCAAATTACACACAACCAAACAGGCCAACAATGTTAAAATTTGCATAGTAAAGTTGGTGATAATTACGAAAAATATTACCGCCTTTTTAAAAATCTGTTATGGTTTTCTAATATTTCCAGATGTAAGACTGTGATTGATTCTTAATTTTCTCTTAAGAACTTGTTATCATATGATTCAATACCTATATGAGTGTGTGTATGTATGTATATATATGTCTATTATTAGCTTATACTTTTAATTGAGACAAAAAAATTCTTCAATTGACAATATAGTTGAGCCATTAAATTAAAAATGGTGAAAAATAAATAAACTAAGCTATACTTGTACACTTAATATACAAAATCGAAATATAAATTATAGTTAATCTCCATGTGGCTGCATTGGCAGATTGGGTTGGGGATAAAGATGGAAAGTTTATTTTTCTTAATTTGTTTGACTTACCGCCGAGGGTGCGTGCTTTGCTTGTTCATGATGATGTCCCCTCGATTTTTTTAAAGATTATGATCCATCTTGAATTGAGGCTCCAATTTTCTTGATGTATTATGTTTTGTTGAAATATGAAAAAAGGGAAAAAGAAAAGAATGAGAAAAATGAAAAGGAAAGAAAAAGGAAAATAGAAAATAAAACAATTACAAAAGATGTGAGAAAAGAAAAAGGAAAGAAAAGGAAAATGAAAGAAGACAAAAGAAAAGAAGAGAGAGAAAAAGAAGTACTCTGCCTGGAGGTAATGATGTCTTGGCGTTTGTCAGGACTAACCTCAACAACGCAGGTGTCAGCGGTACAAGAGGCACCCTAGTCCGGGCTAAACGGTGGCCGGACAGAATTTATCAAATCCGTTGACCTAGTCAGGCTTACTGCTGGCCAATAGTAACCGAGTCCCTTATGGGCTCTGGGTGGGGCGGGTCATATATGATGGGGGTTGCCTTGTTGTTCGTGTCTGTCTGTTATTTTCTTATACACTGCCTAGTGAAACATGATTATGAGCTGTATTGGTTTAGGAAATGTGGTGTTGCTTGTTCTGTCACGTTTTCATTTTGCAGGTCTTTCCTTGGCTTCTGAGGTATTGTTGGTTTTAAGCTTGTTTGGTTTTGCCCTTGTGGGTTTCTTTAAATAGACCACGCCTCAACGTTGGTGCAAGCGGTAAGAAATTGCATCATAGCCCGAACTAAACGGTGGTCGGGTAGGGGTTTATCAAATCCGTTGGCGGTTTGTCCAGGCTTGCTGTTGGCCCATAGTAACTAATCTCGTTAGGGTTCTGGTTACGATATTGGTGTGACCGGCCTATATGTGGCCTGTGTGCTTTTCTTGGTGGCTTGCGTGCCATTTATTAGTTTTTTGGGCCTGTGTGCCTCCTTTGTGGTTTGTTTGCCTTGTGCTGATAGTTGGGCAGCTGCTGTTGTGTATTTCTGTCCTTGTGAGATAGCCCTGCAGCAACCGTTAAGCTGCCGGATATCTTACAAAATGGGCTAGCATTCTTGGAGGTTCCGACGAAGCGTGGGCGTTGAGCGTTGCGGCCGTGTTGACACTGTTGCATCGTTGCATTGTGGTGCAGAGTCGCGGCATTGCAACTTTGTGGTGGTGCGGCATGGTGGCGCACTAGTACATGGTGGCACGCAGGTGCAACTTTTCTCCTATAAACAGTCGTTATGCGGCTGGTTTTTGCGAAAATTGGTGCAACGCCGATAGGGGGATTCTGCACCTCCATTTCAGCACCCGTATTATTTATTTATTTTTCTTCATTTATTATTCCTTTGGTCTGGTCTACTAGTTGAGCTTGGGTCCATTATTTTATTCTTTCATTCTTTAGGCCTGACCTGTTAGGGCTTGAGTCCATCCTTTATTTTAGTTTCTTTATATTCAGACGTTATGCCATGGAACCGTGTTCACCATTCATGGTGAACACGGTTCCAACGGTGTTAATACACCGTTATCTTTTTTTTTTTTTTTTTTTTTTTTTTTTTTAAATTAATTGCATGACTTTTCTTCTTTATTTTCACATTTTGCGATTTCACTTTAATTTGAGGTGAACAAAGATTTCGAACATTCATAAATTATGAATTCATGCTTGCACATTCACTTATGCTTGCACATTCACTTTGGAACCATGCCTACACATTCCCGTCCGAAATCACGGACATTCATAAATTATGAATTCATGCCTGCACATTCACTTTGGAACCATGCCTACACATTCACTTTGGAACCATGAGATTATGAATTTTCTGTTATGCGATTATGAATTTTCTGTTATGAGATTATGAATTTTCATTACATTCATAATTTCGGACATTCATAAATTATGAATTCATGCCTGCACATTCACTTTGGAACCATGCCTACATATTCCCGTCTGAAATCACGGACATTCATAAATTATAAATCCATGCCTGCACATTCACTTTGGAACCATGCCTACACATTCACTTTGGAACCATGAGATTATGAATTTTCTGTTATAAGATTATGAATTTTCTGTTATGAGATTATGAATTTTCAGTTGTGAGATTATGAATTTTCTGTTATGAGATTATGAATTTTCATAAAATTCATAATCTCATAACAGAAAATTCATAATTTGATCAAACGCGCGCCGTTAACTCCACATCCGCGAAATTTTTTTTTTTTGCCTAAAAACGACGTCGTTTTGCCTTGTGTTCACCATTCTCGGTGAACACGATTCCACGGCATAATTTGCGCTTTATATTAGTATAGGCCCAATCTCAAGGGCTGGGTATGTATTATGGTCACTTTTGGACCATTAGTTGTAAGACATTTTAATTCTATTGCTCAATAAAGTTTTTTTTTTTTTTTTTTTTTTAAATATCATTGAAAAAAAAATACAAATTATACAATAACTTCAGCATTACAAAATCTTTTGTTAGGACATAAGAAGAGTAATTTTTTTAATGTAAAATTAAGTGGACAGATTTGATTTGGTTTATTTATTATTTTAAATACAACAAAATTTATATAAGTATCATGATTATTTATGATTGATACTTATACCACTAGACTAGACTAGACTACTCCTGTTTATTTATTTTTCAATCTGGTTGGAACATACAAATTATATATAAAAAAAAAAAAAATTGTGCAATTTTGAAGTGTTTAATGATCCAATGAAATGCATTTTTAATTTAGTACATAATATTTTTTTTTTTTTGTTGTTGAAACAGTACATACATCTATTTGTTTAACTTTATTCTTCTCATTTTTCTCCCAAAAGATTGAAATATCAACCCTAAGGTCTCCACACCCCGATTTGATAAAACATTTGGGAGAATGTAAATCACGGTGATTCAATGACTCAACAAACAGGGCTAAATACCGCTTAAAAAATTGGCAAATTATACCGTGGAACTGTGTCCACCTTGTAAGGTGAACACGGTTCTAAAATTGTTCATAATTATAAATATATAGTTTAATAATTATGAAGATATAGTTCTATAATTATGAACATAGAGTTGTGAATATAATTATGAAAATATAGTCAGGGACGGAGGGAGAGGGGGGGGGGGGGCAGGGGGGCGGCTGCCCCCCCTCACCCCACCCCACCCCACCCCACCCCACCCCATTTATAGTATTTGTATGTATATATGTATATATAGTACATGTTTTAGTATTAGTATAAAAAAACTATAAAATATTAACAAGAAGTGAGTTAGAGTAGGTGGTGGAGCACATCTTTGGTAATAATGAAATTAAAAGTTCCAATCTTAGCATCAACATAGTTTTATAATTTTTTTTAATAGCTTTTTTAATATTACACACACACTCTCTATAATAAGATGTGTAATTTATAATGTGTTTTCTATTCAAATTATTTTATTAATTATGTTTCATATTTTGTTATGAATATTTTTTATAAAGTTTCGATATGTTTTATTTTTCGTTCATATCCAACAATATTTACAATTATATTTCTTAGGTAGTTTATTTATTTATTTTTAAATTATCTCTTTTGTTTTAATGTTTCGCCTTTTCTGGAAAAATTTTCTGAATCCGTCTGTACTGTTTCGCCCCCCCTCAACCGAATTTCTGGCTCCGTCCCTGCATATAGTTCTGTAATTATGAATATAGAGATTCAGTAATTGTGAATAAAAAGTTCAAAAATTATGAATATATAGCTTTATAATTATGAACATATAATTAAGTAATTATGAACATAGAGTTCTGTAATTGTAAATACAGAGTTAAATAATTATGAATATGAAGTTCAAAAATTATGAATATATAACTTTATAATTATGAACATAGAATCGTGTTCCCCTTGCAAGGTGAACACAATTCCACAGCATAATAATTGTAAAAAATCTGCTCAATTTAAATATAATTCTCACATTGTCGCTGTCTAGATTCGAACATAGATATCTTCTCTAACTGCCTACTGATTCTTCATTTTCTCTTTCTGTTTGTTTTTAAATATTTTGAAATAAGGATCAAATAGGCCACTGAATTGCACACCAAACTACAATTAGGCCATTAAACTCAAAAAAAATGCAATTAGGTCCCTGAACTACACAAATACATGTAATTAGGTCTAAAATGATATGTTTACCTGACATGTAGGTTGCGAATTTTAAAAATAATTTTAAACAAAAAAATTAATTAAAAAATTAAAAAAAAAAAAAAAAAACAAAACGGCGGGAGATGAAATCGTCTCCGGCCGTCCCTCGTCTCCATGGCAGGAGACGAAGACCTTTGTCTCCAGCCATGGAGACGATTTTCACATTAGCAAAGTATCAAGTAAACATGTCATTTTAGATCTAATTACATGAATTTGTATAATTTAAAGACTTAATCGTATTTTTTTTAAATTCGATAATCTAATTGCAATTTGGTGAGCAATTCAGTGTCTTTATTCCAAATATTTTTAACTGAGATACAACCTAATTTGATTTAATTTATTTTTTAATTTTTGCCGATTCAACAGGTTTCCCTGTTTTTTATTACTCCGTGAAATGAAAGTATATTATGTATAGAAAAACCCTTGAGAGAGACAGAGAGAGATGGACATGGATGCCAGGAGACTGGAAGAGCTAAAGTACTTCGTTGATCACTGCAAAGCTAACCCTTCGATTCTACACACTCCTTCACTTTCCTTTTTCAGGAGCTATCTGGAAAGGTACTACTTTTTTCCTGGTTAGCTTTTCTTATTCTCTGTTTTTTTCAGCAAGCGTTCACTGTAAAATTGGTTACTATATCGGGTAAAAATTCATTTTCAGCTTGGGAGCTCGAATTCCTCCGAAGGTCAAAACAGTAAGCTTCCATTTTTCTATCTTCGACTTTTTTGCTGCTATTCACTTCTAATTTGCTTGAATGGAACGATTTTTCTCTGTTTCTTCTTTGGTGTAGGAGAGGGATTACTGAAAAAATTAAAATTTATTAGCTGAAAAGCTAGTTAATTGAAAAATTGAAGTTTATTAGCTGAAAAGCTAGTTAATTGGAGCAATTAATATAAGCTTGCTTATTATAAGCCAGGGTTACAGTGTGGGGTATGTTAGGAAGCGACTATAATTACACTTTGAAAAACTTGGGGTATGGTTGAGTGGAAGAGATTCATCCATCCTTAACCAAAGGTCAATGGTTCGATCATTGGCTTTGGGTATAGAGCATCGTTAAATCTCCAGGCCAGCTGTCCCACCCAATAGAGGTGCCTACAATTCAGCGAGGGGATTAGTCACTCTGTCCGACAGTGGAAATTATGGGCTACACCCAAAAAAAAAATAATTACACTTTGAAAATGAGGATTTTATTTTTTAAAATTTCAATTTCCTTTGGAGTAGGCATCATTGTAGTTTGACAGCACCAGACTAAACACAGCTCCACCCTTTACGAATGACCAAACCATGTCCTACATTCCTGTCACAGGATTGTGTTCAAGTATTAGGGATTTTGTTCTTGAAAGACCCTTTTCCTTGATGATTAAATAGCAAGCTTTTATGCGAGTGTTTATGTTTATTCAGATATATACACGGGGTTTGAATGCTGCTCTTGAAAGAAGCTTTACCTTATATATAATCAATCACTAACACTTAAGAGTATTCTGGGATTATTGAGGCTTAGCTAAACACAACTATGTAAGTAGTGAAGCCCTTCATGTTACTGATTAGAATAATTTTGAAACCAGTTCTTTTGGGCTTGCCTGTATTCCTAGTTCATGTATGTACCATACACGTGGATATCTTTAAAAAATTAATGGTTCAAGTTCAAATTTCAAAGTTGTGAAAAATAAGAATGTGATAAATATGTAAAGACTCTTTATATATTTCATTGACTTTAATAAGCCCATAAGTACTAGGCTCCATTATAATCTCTGTATAACACATATTATATCAACATACACTCTATCCTTGTTGAGTTTTTCGCTTAGGCCACTTGTTAACGTGATATTAGAGTTGGATAACTTGTGAGAATGGAGCTCCGGTAAAAAATAGTATGAAGAAAGAGAATGTAATATATATGTAAACTCTCTTTATATATCTCTAGGATGCTTTTAGCTTATCTAGGAGTCTTTTAACTTATTTGAATGAGCCTATAAATACTGGGCTCCAATGTAATCTCTGTATCAAACATATTATATAAAAAAACATTGTATCTTTCTACTACTTGGCCACCCTTCAGTCCATTCAATCTTTTACTTCTTACTAGTTAGTGAAAGCATTGGAGAAATTTTTCTGTAATCTATTTAGCAGTATAGGATATTTGTGCCATCCATATCACTTGTTCTTTTACTCATTAGAGGTGTGACACTTTTGTTTTTTCATTATTCTTGGTCGAGATTTCATTATTGATTTTTTGGATCTCGTTGTTTGTTAGAGTTTTGTTTAAAGAATTAATTCATTAGACCTTCCTATCCAGGAGGAAGATGATGAAGAGTTTCATGATTACAAGAAGCCCAATTTTCCAAGTGACAATAGCATGGATGAAGATATAGTTGAGTCTGATGTTGAATTGGATAGTGCTGATGTTGTGGAGCCTGACAATGATCCTCCACAAAAGGTGTGATATAGGGAATATGAAGACACAATTTAAACACATGTTTTGATATTGAACAAATTCTTTTGTTGTGGCATGGCAGATGGGTGATCCTTCAAGAGAAGTAACTGAGGAAAGCCAAGATGCTGCTCAAATGTCAAAGTCTAAAGCTGTGAATGCAATCTCTGAGGGTATTTTATGTTTTTAGCTGTCAGTGTGATCTAGATCCTCATGCTTACTTTTCTGTTATTGTTACATTTTGGAAATTTATGCTCTAATGAACTATTTTCTTATCAGGGAATCTGAATGAAGCCATAGATCATTTAACAGAAGCTATCATGTTAAATCCAATTTCAGCAATACTATATGCAACCAGAGGTAATTCTATAACATAAGATCTATCTGAACTAAGTGTCTATATGTTTTTGTTCTGTTTATTTATTACTCCGTATTTAAATCTTATACTTGCACAGGTAGTGTGTTTATTAAACTTAAAATGCCAAATGCTGCAATCCGTGATGCTAATGCAGCTTTACAGGTGTGCATGCAGCTATATTTTAAGATTAAAACTATACTGAACTACCGGAGTATATCTGATTAAGATGCAAATGACTGTATCTCAAGTTTCTCAACTCTTTGGGGTGTATACTTAATCTTGAGTCTTCTTTCTTCTTTAAATATAAGATCAACCCCGACTCAGCAAAAGGATATAAAGTACGAGGAATAGCAAGGGCAATGCTAGGCTTATGGGAAGAGGCTGCTAGTGATCTGCATGTGGCATCAAGAATAGATTTTGATGAAGAGATTAATGAGGTGCTCAAGAAGGTATATTCTTCAAAGGCTATGGTAGTTCATGTTTTGCATTTAAGTTTCTCCCCTTGCCCTGCCTCCTTTGCAGATGAAAGTTTTGTAAAAGATATTCTTGCCTTTTGAAAAAACATGGTAGGTTGAACCTAATGCTCGTAGAATTGAAGAGCACCGCCGGAAATATGAACGCTTGCGGAAAGAGAGAGCTAAAGAAAATGGAACGTGAGAGACGATGGAGAAGAGCAGAGGTGTTTAACATGATTCAAGTGCATTTTATAATTCTTTGACTAATTAACTATTGAAGCTCACATTTGTGATTAAAATTTTACTACAGGCAACTTTTAAAAAGGAGGAGAAAATGGAACAAACTTCTGTAAGTAAAACTTCTGGTTGCTGTTTTCTTCAAGAGTGGTGTTTCCATTCTGTCGTTATATGGGATTTATGCGAACATATTGTTAAGCAGTTTTCTATTTGAGTCCCATTAAGGTTGGCTTAAATTTGCATTCTAATTTATACTGTTACTTTGTTAGATATTGAAATTACGTATAGCCTTTTGGTTGGCTAATTGATGCTCACGAGTTCTCTTAATATTCTTCCTTGAAATGGTTGTAGGGTCCTGAAGCTGCTTCTGTTCTCAAGGATGGTATGTGGGTCGTTGAGTTGATTTCCTTTTCGATTTGGTTATTTGCTTGAGACTCATCTTTTACGTGATCATAAGCATCGCCAGTTGACTAAATGCTTGATTCTGAACATTCTCGAGACATTATTTTGCTTTTACTTACTCCATCTAATTTTTCTGTAATATGCAGGACAAGTTATTGGAGTCCATGCTCTGGATGAATTGGATACCAAGTTAACTGCTGCTTCAAGGGCATCCCGGCTGGCAATCCTTTATTTCACCGCAACATGGTGTGGGCCCTGCCGTTATATGTCCCCGCTTTTTACAAGCTTGGCTGGGAAGTATCCAAAAGTCGTGTTCTTGAAGGTTGACATTGATGAGGCAAGAGACGTGGCTGCTCGATGGAACATTAGCAGTGTTCCGACTTTCTTCTTCATAAAAAATGGAAGCGAGGTTGACAAGGTGATAGGTGCCGACAAGAATTCCCTCGAGACGAAGATTGCTCAACATGCTAGTTAACAGAATCTGTGAAAGGAAATCCAAGGTTTTACTGACTCTCTGAATAAGCTTAATCTAGGGCTTTGTTAGGGCAAAAAAGAAACTGAACAAGAATGCTTTTTACCTTTTACAGTTGAACTAATTGCACAAATGTAATATGGTCTGCATATGAGCGTTTGTGAATGTTATCTTACATATGATTCAATAAATGGTCTAAATGTTAGCTGAAGCTTCCTTTAGCTTTATACACCCCTTTGCTAATTCTTGTGAAGAGTGTCTTCTATATTCTGCAGGTTTCTTGAATAACAGAAGCAGTTTAGAAGCTCCAATTTTGTTTCTTTTCCTATTTGAGTTATTGTCAGTGTTGTAAGAATTGGCCTAGACGCCCCTGAGGGGGATTTTAGCCCTAGGTAGCTTTTAGTCGGCTGGCTAACTAGGTGCCTTAGTGCCCAACTCGGTTGAGCCGGCATCCAACTTGGCTACGTGTTTTTTTAAAAGATCTCCAAAATAGTGGTGAATCCCTCAAAATCCCCCCCCCCCCCCAACCCCCCCCCAAAAAAAAAAAGCCAAAACGTCGAGCATCCACATAGCTTAGCGTCGCCCTCTCCACAGAGCATGTCGTCTCTATCCATCCTGCAATTGCCGTTGCCACTCTTCCTTAGCCTCCTTGTTTACTCGTTGTTGTAGTCGCTGCATTGAGTTGTTGAGTCGCTTGGTCGTAGTTGCTGACTGCTTGTCGTTGCAATCGATACGCTGAGTCTTGAGTCGCCCTGGTCATCTTCACTAGCCTCGCTTGCTCCTCTTCCATATTTCTCCTGCCAAGTAGTCAACTAACAATCTAACATATGTAATTGACTAGTTTGAGTGATCATAACAGTCTAACAGTTAACTGTCTTTTTTAAAAATAATAATAATAATTACTCGGCTACCTAGGCGTTAGGTGCTCCCGGGCACCCGTCTAGCGCCTAGCGCCTTCTGAAAAATTGAATTATTGTTTATCTTCTTTCTTCATTTCTCTGAGATTTCTACTGGTATGTCATCTCAAGGTCATTGCACATGATCTTAGAGAGCTATTTATAGAGTCTAAAAGATAATAAGCCATTGAAAATCACAATTGCTAGAATGTTAATAATCACAATATGCATAACAAAGTTTTCAGGGCTAGCTTCACTTTCTTTCATTCTTGGAGTAGAATCTGAGAACCACATAGAAAAGGAGACGATAAAGAACTCCCCAGGCCAGCAGGATCGCGATATCTTCCCAGATACCGCCCTTGATGTTCATGGATACCAGAACATCGTCACCAGCCAAACCAGCCAACCCGCAACTCGGCTGATCAGAACTGTACTTCACTTCTCCCAGAGGGCCAGGCGATAGATCCGAAACATTACCAGTATAGCAATGCTTAGCATCTCCGAATTCGTTTATCAGCAAGGCCTCAAACGGGTATTTGATAGCTGAGATGTAATGCAGCCATCTCCAGATGCCGGGAATCTGAGAGCTCTTCAAGAAGAACCCGCAGGTAAGGAAGAAGAGAGCTGTGGTAGCTATCACGACAGCATAGCCGGTGATGTAACTGGGAACCAAGGCGCTGACCAGCATCACGTAAGCGTTGGTAGTGATCAGCGAGGCGTAAATAATCAGCCAGAAGTTGGTGAGGTTGCAGTGCAGCTTGAGGAGGATTCTTGTAATGGTGGAGAATGTTAATCCCTGGATGGCGAAGAAAGGGAGGTATACTACGAGGGAAGCAATGACATAAGAGGAAGCGCGATAAGCGTTGTGTGAAGTCTCCCGGATGAAGATGAAGCGTTCTTGGATGAAAGTCGGGACTGCATCGTTGGAAGAGAAGAAGGCTAAGCAGATGGCGAAGATGTAGAAGTTGAGAAGAAGGTTAACTGTTCTAAAGTCGTAATCTTCTAGCCTCTTGAAGAGTGAAGATAGAACCAGAGCCATCACTGTCAAGACTATCAGTCGGGACAGGAAGAGCTCGGGAGTTCGGATAACATTAAGCCCTGTGCGCCAACACAGCACTGCTACCTCCCGGAGCCACTCGTTTGCAAACTTGTCCCGGTTTTCTGGTTCATCAAGCACTTCTTCAGTCTCAAATTCTTCAACATAGGATTGTGGTTCGGAGGTGAAAACTGGAGGAGTTATTGGAAGAGCTGTGGTCGGTTGAGATGTTATATATTCACTCGAATTCAAACTCCTGGCACCAGAAGTAGTGGATGTTTTACCCGAAGCCACTCCAGGAGTTCGGGCTGGGGTCCACGTTGGAGGGCGGTGAGGCGTCCCCTTGACACCATTGTAGAGCCACAGTGAGAAGTCTTTGTAGAAATGAGAAGCTAGGCGAGGATTGTAAGCTCCACCGTGCATGCTCGTTGGCATATGAGCAGTCCTCCGCTCCAAGGATTTATCGAACTCATCCTCATCGTTGTATGAAAATTGCATAGAATCTGCTGAATTTGAAGTGGAGAACTGATTGCTAATGAAGCTTAAAGGCTTGGGCCAAGGCGATGATTTTGCAGGAGTAAATGGAGCTTTTGGTGTTTTGGGAATCGGGGTCATGGCTACCTGATCAGGTTTGGTGCCATTGCGTTGATAGGAGACAAGAGGATCAAGCCCGACTGTTGATTCTTCGTACTCTTTTATCACGTCGAGGAGGTATTCTAAGCTGTTGTCCCCATCTGGAACTGGCCTTCCAAATACCGAGAGGTAACCGGGTAGATCAGTTGGAGTTCCTGAATATACAAGTCTTCCCCTGCAGGCAAGTATGAACTTATAATGGTGTTGCTATTTCTTTTATGGAGGAAAATTTCGGGGTTTTACCTAGCGAGAACTATGATGCTATCGAGGAGCATTTGGATCCTGAAGGAAGGCTGGTGAATTGTCATGACTACTATGCTGCCACTTTTCGCTATGTCTTTAACCTTTTCTGCTACGCTATAAGCGCTTGTGGAATCAAGACCCGAGGTGGGTTCGTCGAGGAACAAGACGGATGGTTTATGGATAATGTCAATGCCAATAGACACCCTTCGTCGCTCTCCACCCGATACTCCTCTCTTCCCTTCGTTTCCAATGTAAGTATGTGCAGCACTCTGCATAAAGTTTTGTTTTTTTTGAGGTTCTGTAAATGTGTTTGGGAGAAGGCGGGGAATAGTGAGTGAGTGAGTGTTGATACCGTCAAGGCTAGTTGATCGAGGAGCTCGTCGACTCTTTTCTTCTTCTCTGGTCGAGAAACCGAAGGTGGGAGCCTAAGTTCTGCTGCAAACAAGAGGGTCTCGAAGACGGTTAACATGGGGAATAGCTGGTCTTCTTGCATCACATACGAAGAAATCATCTTCATATAGCTCGTTGTGACCTGCAGATTCTCAGTATGAACAACAATATCGAGAAAATCAATAAGGTGATAATAAAGAGAAGAAGACAAACCGGTTTCCCATCAATTCTAACAGATCCTTCGAGGCTTCCACGAGCAATCCGGCCAGCCAAAGCATCAAGAAAAGTGGATTTCCCCGCGCCACTAGGCCCCAGGATGGCCTGAACTTCACCTCGAATAGCCTGGCCCGAGATATCGTTGAGAAGGTAAACTTCTTTGTTGATTCTCACCCCGTCTTTCTTCTGCACCTTGGTGACGCTATAACACAGGTTCTCGTACTCTAGACCTTCGCCTCGAATCAGCTTCCGTGATGGCTGGTGCTTAGCCACATTTTTGCTCAGCTCATCGGATTTGTCCAAGTCTAGCAAGGTTTCCAGGTTTCTGTTACTATTATTACCATCTTTTCTCTTAATGTTCGCCGCGTTTTCCATAACTTTTTTCCCTCCCTTTCCTCAGCTCAGCTTAGATTAGTTACTAGAACAGGCATGTATGCATGTGTATAAATGACAGATTTGGATTTGGAATGTTGCAGATAAAAGATAGCAGGTTTAGGGCGGCTGGGCTGGGCAGATTTGGAGGTACATTCTTGTTTGGTTTCTCTAGTTTTATGCCCTTTGATCTTGTCGTTGATTAGCCTTGATCATGTAAAATGCTGTTCCTGGAGTTGTTTCTCAAGGCTATAGATAGTTTTCCTGTGTCTTGACTCTTGATGTTTCTGTTGGCAAATTGTCTTGGTGGCAGTGACTTTTTTACTTTTTTTTTTTTTTTTTTTTTTTTTTTTTTTTTTTTTTTACTACTATGAGACTGATCTAAATTGATCATTATTATGAGATTAATCTAAATTTGGTCAAATCAGTTTGGTTGGCGTGAGTGGCTGTGCCCTCTCGTCCTTTAAGAGAAGTTGGGATTTGAACCCCCTCTCGTATGAAAAAAATCAATTTGGTCAGGGCCGATCCGGTGCGAACGAGGATTAATCTGAGTATGGTACGAACTTAAAGGTGGTTCATACAATTAGAGTAAAAAAAAAATTGGTCTAGAAAAAGTTTGACTATTTAGAGGTGTGACCCATAGTTCCTTAGTATGTTGCACACTTGAAAAAATTGATCTATTAATTTTACAATTGTATTAATAGTTTGTTTATCAACTATTTTTAGAGTCATAAAAACGGACTCCATATATAGGTAAGAGCGTTCAATTTTGGTTGCCTGCAAAATGTGGACATTATAGGCTCACCCCATTTGGCTGATATGCCGCGGGTTGGCCTACCATTATTTTAATAAACCAATATGTAATTTCTAAATGCACACAACCACACGTCTAAACTTAATTCAAAATATCACATTTCACATGCCTCGTTACCTTTGATTTCCCACCAATGTTGGCACGATGCACCTCTAGGCCTATATTATTGATCGCATTGATAGCTCTAGGCTTATATTAGTGATCGTATTGACAGCTCTAACTGTTCTAAATGACTTGCATAGCCTTGTGTTGCATGTTTTTTTTAGTAGTTTTGACAAAAGGTTCTAATTGGAAACATACTAGCTAGGGAATTTTGTGCCTTAGAGGTGGATTTATTTTATAGTAATAAAAATGTTTTCATTTGGAATATTCTTTGAATTCCTTAGGTTTGCACTAACACTTCCTGGCATATAGCAAAACATTAGCAAACATGGACAATGTAGAAAGAGATACATATGCTAATGATGACTTCTTCTTACGAGTCGATTTATGTGAAATTTGATTCGGTTTTAAAATTAATAAGTTATTGTGTCATTATTGGAACAAAAGAAGGATCTGACCGTGGAAGAAGAGACTAAAATTTAAATTTCGGTAAATTATTATGTGGACCATAGTTCACATAGTGTTATGTGATTCATATTAAAAAGTACATTTTTAATATACTAAATGTATATTATTTTTGTACTGAATGTACATTATACAATATAATGTACACCCAGTATAAAAATAAAGTACATCTCCTGAATGCAATGTACATTATTTTTGTACTGAATAATGTACATTATTTTACCGTATACAAAATATGGTCCACACAATAATGATTGTCGAATTTCGGCATTGTGGAGATTATGTCTAAAGTGGGCAGATCCTTTGTGCGCACCGACATTTGACCATGTCTACTGAGCCATTGAGTCACTGTGATTTACATCTTCCCAAGTGCAACAAAATACTAGGGCTTCCTTAAAATTTTAACCTTATTTATTTATATATTGTTTTAGTCCCTCAATTGGTCATTATTAGTTGTTTTAGTTCAATTTTTTACCGTTACAATAATACGACGATATACACTCTTATCTCTTCAAAACTTTGAAGCAACGAAACTAGTAAACTTTATTAAAGTTTTACTTTTTTTTTTTTTTTTTGAAAGGTAAAAGTATAATTAAATTAAGAGCTCCGAAATGGAGTTAGGGAGGGACAGTGTCCCAAAACAACTCCGAAAGCATAACTTTGTCGCCATCTGCTATGCTAAGAGCATCTCCAACCGAGTTGCATTTCGGCACAAATTTACCCCATCTCGCCATTTTCTAACTTTTCCGATCTCCAATGTGGAACTCCAAATCGGCATAACGCCAATTCTTTTGGCGCTGCACTGTTCATCCGCGTCAAATGTAAAATAGGGAGCAAAATGACTCTTTTGTCCTTGCTTCTTTCTATAATTCCAAATGTATCCTTTATTTGTATTATATGTAATTTTATATTTTGTTAAATACTTATATTTAAACTTTGTATTATTAAATAAAAAATATACCATTTTAAAGATCTCATTGAGACGATCGAAATAAGACTAATATTGAATATATATTAATTAAAATTTCAAATACATCAAACATAACTTGAACATAATAAAAATTAAAATACATACGACACACATCAAACATAACTAGAATATAATAAAAAATAAAATACATACGACATAATATTGATATTAGACAAATTAAACATAATAAAATACATACGACATAATATTGATACTAGATGTTTTATGTTATATTGTTATTTTGGAATAAACTAAATTTTCAAAAATATTTTTAAATTTATTTTTAAAAAAAGTAATGTTAATACAAATTATTAACAAGAGTTGAAAAATCACATCTTCTACATGGGTTGCACAAATAGAGCATAAAGGATCCATTCTTCTTTGCAATAAATTGGAGGTAGGTGTTAGTAATTGCTCCCCAGAGAAATGTTTTCGGATCCTTTGGGGGAATTGTCAGATTCCCAATTTGGGACCTAAAGGAACCTGAAATATAAGACTAGTTGAAGAAATAAAGTCTAAAGTCACACCAACCTATTGAAACTAAAGAAAATTATAATTAAAGAAAAAACATTAAAAAGTACTCTGTATTAAAATGTTTTTGGTAGGGAGAAAATTTTTGGTATTGTGATTTGTGAAAGAGAGTGAGAAAATGAAACAGTCAGATCACAAATTTCTGAATATGTAATTCAAGAAAAATAGGTGATTTGAATGACGGTGAGAACAGTCAAAGCACAAACCTCTCACAGTAGTTCAAGAAATCGGTTAACAACCTTGAAAACGGTTAATCATTTCTTACATAATACTGCAAATAAAATAAAAATAATAATCCATCTATTTATAATAATAATAAGCTTATAAGCAGCAAACAAATTCACCACTGTAATTAACACAAAAGAAAAAAGAAAAAAAGGGGTAAAAATAAATAAATAAATAAAAGCAGTTCCATCAAGGACCACTTTTTCTATTTTCATGGCAAATAACAACAAACAACCTTGATTGCCTCTGTTGTGGTCGGTGGTACGGTTCTGTGCCTCCTCCTCGGTGTCCTGAGGATTTTAGACGATGACCAACATGCATGACTAACTGAACTTGTAAAATTTTGTTATTTGGGTTTCCCCTCCTATTTGATCTAAAAACAAATTGAATGAAATTAATATGATAACTTTATAACATCGATTAAACAAACATGACACAACAATATTGATCGGGCAACAAAATACAAGGGCTTCCTTAAAATTTTAAGCTTATTTATTATTGCTCCCAAAAAGTTAAATCTCCAATCCAACCCCTTTTAACCCCTTTTTGGCAGAGTATTTGGGATGGTGTAAATCGCGGCACAAGAGATTTGTCCACTTTGGATATAATTCTCATACTACCGCCGCCGAGGTTTGAACCTTGGTCTCTTCTCCCAAATACTGTCTGCTGAATCATTGAGCTAAAACCGTGTGGGTATGTTAGTTTAACTTGTGTTATAATATAATGACAAGATCAGTTGGAAAGAATGACGGATCGAGTCTCACCAGTGGCAGTGTAAGAGCAACCTCTCAAAGTGAGGGGGGCTCTTTGTGCGCAGTGAGCAAATGTCTAACCTATGTGGTTCATGATCAGTTGAGTCATAGGTTCATGATCAGTTGAGTTAGATTCTCTGTGGGGCCGAGAAGAGCGTTATACACCGAGGAGAAGAAGAAGATAGATTCGCTGTGGGGCCGGGAAGAGCGTTATACACCGGGAGAAGAATAAGAAGAGTGTTCCTCCACATGATTACCTGTACTATACAAGCCTTTTTGCCGGACTAGTCTATCTTGCTAACACATTAGTGTGAGAGTCTACTAAATCCTTTTGGTAGAGATGATTTATATTTAGTGGTGCGTAATGCTACTGACTCTATTACAATGTAGTATCTGTTCATAGCTATTTCTCAACCTACTGAAGCACAAAGAGCCAATAACGCCTCCACTGAAACTCAAACTTACAACCTTCCATATGAAAGTTTAACTCGAGTGTCATATGAGCACAAGGTACTTGACCAATAGAGGTATGTTTTATTATATCAAAATAGTGCAAAAATATCTTGTAAGTTGAATGACTTTTGTGACGAATGCAATGCAATCATTATGCTGGGAAACATGATTTAAATGTAAGATAAATCATTGATATATATATTTATTTTTAATATATAATTAAAAATGAATATGTATTACATAAAAAGAAAATATTCACTATATTAAAAATGAACTTATGTCAATGAGCGGATCGGATCTAGAGGCATAGGAGGGGGTGGGGGATGGGGCTATATGTGTGCGTGTGTGTTTTAGTAAAAATATATAGTATATTATTATTATCCTTAAAAGTTATTAAAAGTTGATAGTTAATAGTTGTTTTTGTATAAAAGATCGGATCAAACCTTATTAACTACACTATTTATCGCAATTCCTAATACATCTATATTTTATTTTCTCTTTCCTTAATGCACTTAGAGCATCTCTAATGCATGGGGCAGCAAAACAACAAAAATTAACACCATCTCGCTATTTCACCGTTTTTTGAAGCTCCAATGTGCGGCACCAAAACAACATAACGCCAAATTATTTGGCTTTAATGAACAGTGTCGCCATATATGGCACGGCACGGTTCATCAACAACAAATATGGGAGGGGCAGCCAAATGACATTTCTACCCTTATTTTCTTTTATAAGTCCAAATGTATCATTATTTGTTTTATAGGTAATTTTTGTATTTTGTTAAATACTTATATTTAAAATTTGTAATAATAAATATAAATTATACCATTTTAAATATCTCATTGAGTTGGTCGAAACAAGACTAATATTGAATATATATTAATTAAAATTTTAAATACATGTTTTATGTTAAATACACTATTTATCTCAATTCGACAATTTGTAATTTATATGGAGACTCAAATATTGAACTACTGAAATTTAAATTATATTGTATATAAAAAGTCCAAATATTAACTTCTTTTAATTAATTCGTTTTTGGTATTTAATGGGAGAAAATTTGTGGTGGTTTAGATGAGGGTAAGAAACAGTCAAGGCACAAATCTCTCAAAGTAATCCAAGAAATTCGTTAACAACCTTGAAAACAGTTAATAATTTCTTAGCCAAAAAAAAAAAAAATCTCTCTATATATAATAAGCTTATAAGCAGCAAACAAATTCACCACTGTAAATAAATAACACAAAAGAAAAAAGGGGTTTAAAAAAAAAAATAAATAAATAAAACAGTTCCGTCAGAACCCCTTTTTCGGTTTTTTCCATTTTCATGGCGAATAACAACAAGCAACCCTTGATTGCCTCCACCGTCGTCGCGGTGGTTCTGTGCCTCTTCCTTGGTGTCTTCGGAGCAGAGGACGGCGGCGCCGCCGCAGGCGCAGCCCCAAGCGCAGGCGGCGCAGCAGCAGGCGGCGCAGGCGCCAGTGCCCAATCTGTTCTTGATGCAGCTGCGGACGTTGGGGGGAACGGAGGACCGATGGCGTGCATGGCGAAACTGGAGCCGTGCCAGAAGTCTATGGCGGATACGTCGTCGGATCCGCCGCCGGAGTGCTGCACGCCGATGAAGGAGGTGGTGACGAAGGAGTTGTCGTGCCTGTGCACCCTGTTTCAGAACGATGCGCTCTTGAGTTCCGTGAATATGACCAAGGATAACGCCATCGGCCTCGCCAAGAAGTGCGGTGCCCAAGCCGATTCAGACATGTGCAAAAATGGTAATCTTCACATTCATATTTTAATTTGGTATGACAAAAACTTATATGAGGAGAGCGATAAAATCTTTGATTAATGAGATCAAAGATCCGACTCATTAATTAAAGATTTGACATATTAATTCAAGATGAGATTCAAGATGAGATAGCTACACATTTGGTTTTAATTAACAGGCTCAAAATGTGTTAATTAATGTGATACCTTTATGGGAAGAGACCAAAAATAAACAATTCAATTTAGGAGTGCCAATGCAGGTTGGCTCTTGTACCAAGTAATATTAGATTCTTTTGTATTTAGAAATTAACTAGAACGAATGATTTTGTGTTGGCTTTACTTGTTGATCATGAAAAAACACTCAAAAATAAAAAATAAAATTATTTAGGAGAGACACCAGTGTATGTAGCCTAAATGATAGACGAACAAAGAGTCAAATGTTTACCGTTTTGAAATAGTAGCATTAGAAAATCAATTCTTCCCAATGTACCATGAAGATGAGAAAAGTTTGGTGGATTGGATTTGGAATTTGTATGGAATGGGAAAGGTACCCATGTCCAAAAATACATCATTTATGTATTGAATATTCATAATTTGCAGACTAAATAATATTTATAATTTTATAAATTAATGGATTGTTTGATTGAATGTAATTGTAATCAATTACAATCTAATTCCTTGGCCATAAAATTACAATTACAATGTTTGGTTGTTTGGTCAGAGATCAAATATTCGAATTGCAATTCCTCATTTTGTTGAATTGTAAAAAAATGACTTTTTTACCTTTTAATTTTTGTTAGCATTATTCTTATTCTCAATAATTCTATTCCTTCTACCTAACTTAAATTCGACCTTCATAATTTATCTATTAAATATTCACAATTTAAAATGTGAACATTCCCCCACCACCTTTAATTAATATTTTGTATTATGTTTTTGTGATTGTAGTCGCCCTTTCACCTTCGGCAAGCCAGCTCAATGCAGCAGTATCTTCTTCAGATTCTAAGAGTAAGCTTAGTGTTACAAATCTGGTGCCTCTTATGTGCAAAAAACATGATTTGATTCGACTCACTTTATATTATTCCCATTTGGATTCTACTTAGATTTTTAATTTATGGTTTTGTATGACTGGGTGGCTGGCAGGTACTCCAGCTAGCGAGGAGGAGAAGTCTGGAGCGAGTAATCAAAGGAAATTGGCATCTCAATCTGCTCTATTTTTCGTCGTCCTCTCTTTCCCGGGTTTAATGATGTGATGTGATGAGAGCTTCATGAATTGCAGGATTATATATACTATGTAAAATTAGTACAGATTATTATAACCAGACCCAAATTCATTGGTGCTCTGAACAATTTTGGAAACTCCTTTGATTCTCCTACCATTATCAATCAATCTTTCATTTCTAACATCAAACCATTTCATTTACTCGTTATATAAATTTAAATTTATTTTTTCAAAAATATTCAAAGAGCATTTTATCTTCAGTCAATCGCAACAAAAAACTCTCCCCCAAAAAAGCATAAATTCAGCAAATTTTCACTCAAAACAAAATAATAATAATAATAATATGTATTTACGAGCATATTAGTGCACGGGCCGTACAGAAAAGCGACGGCAAATGCAAGCATATGAAGCTCGCGCCGGAAAACCGGCATTTTTATCGGCAACGGAAAGGGCTGATTGCGCTACTTTTATGATCATGCGCATCAGTGACGCTTTCTAATTGCCTTCTCTGCTAATGATTTTTGTTTTCCTAAAAAACAAAAAGTAAAAACTGAGTAAAAAAATTTGAGAGAATAGACTGATTTTCCATTCTCGGAGAATCTACCGGAAAACTGTCAGAGATTGAGTTACTATGGCGGAGTTACTATGCGGAAATGGATAGTGATGAAGATAAAGAGGGCGTCCGAGAATCTACCGGAAAACTGTCAGAGATTGAATTAGTATGGCGGAAATGGATAGTGATGAAGATAAAGAGGGCGGAGGAGAGTGTATATATAGCGATGAGGGTTTGTGAAGTGAGCCCTAGCTGTCCGGACGGCCCATTTTATATATTGGGCTTATTGTGTTGTGCGCTGACGACAAATTTTGAACATCTGAAATCAATATCGCATTCACTAATACTTGAACCTACGACCTCTCAATTTGAAAGAATCACTTCATGCCGCTTGATCATAATTTTATTTTTGAAATATTCATTTTTTATAAAGTAACATATGTTCTATATTTCTCAAACATTTTTTTGAAGAGAAAAGTATATATTACTTAAATAGAGTCAAGCTCCAAAACATGAACAAGACAAGGAAAAGGGACCAAAGCACAGTTCACACGATCAGACTTGGACAAAACCTTCCTGTGCAACCCCGTTCGCAGATCGCTTAGCAAAAAAAGAAGCTAAGATTGACAAAATCAGAAACTAAGATTGACAAAGAATTTTACTACCAGGTTCGAAGACTACCAATTTAAAAATTATTAAAAATGCCAATTCAGCTGCCACGTAAGCAGATAACCTGCTAAAATTGATGGTAACCCTATCCGATGAAATTGCATACGTTTGGAGTATCCAGCGACCTAATTACTCTTTTTTTTTTTTCCGGTTCAGTGGCCTAATTACATTTTCACGTTATGTTCAGTGGCCAATTTGAACCTTATTTTATTTTTTATTTTTTTTATAAGGTTTCATACTTTTCATTCGATTTTTAAAAACTCAACAAAGCATAATAGCATAATAGGTAGGAAAATTGCATTTTTGTCAGTAAGTTATAGAATAATTGTAATATTTGTTCTTACTTATGGATTGTAACATTGCAAAAGTTAGAAAATTGACGAAATTTGTAACAAATTATAGCTTAGGAACAAAAAATGAGCACGACCAACAAGTAAGAAAAAAATCCTACGATGATCCTATGACTTAGAGATGAAAAATGCAAATTTTCTTAATAAGTACTCCCTCCGTCCCTAATTGATTGTCCCATTTGTTTTTTACACGATTTTTAATACAACATAATAAATGGTACTAACTTTTCAATTTTGCCCATCAAAAGTAGGTGTTATTTGTACAAAGTACAATTGTACTTACCTCTAGAAATTTAAAAAGTCAAGTAAATTGAGAAATGTAGAGTAATAGTTATATTCAATTTTGGAAAAATGACACTTTTTTGAACAAACTAAAAAAGAAAGTAAAACATGTTAACAATCTCCACAAACACACACCTAAAAAACTAGAAACAACATTCACAATAACTTAATAATTTTACAAACATCTACATATATATATATATATATATATATATATATATATATATGCTAGCTGACACCATTAGTTCTACATACTACTCAAAAACATACACTGTAAAAATTATATCAATTACACATATATAACAATTAACAAGCTAGCTAGCTATAATAACCTTTTTATTACCGTTGTGCAGTGACTTTGAGCTGATGTAGTAATGTTTTCCCCCTTAGCTTTTCATTATCCCTCAATTTGTGTAAGCATTCCATCAAACACCTCTTGTTCTTGAATCTGTTCCCCTTCACCTTCATGTACAAATCATGGTGGACATGGCGGTCTATTCTGCTACAATCGCGATACCTATGCAGCAAACGCCTCAAAACTCTTACTCTCTTCATCCACGCCACCTTCAATGGCGCCCTTGCTTCTCTGCTCCCTTTCCTCTTCCCATATCCACAGTTCCTCCCCTTCCTCTTCGCTTCCACCGCTCGTCTCGCGCGAAATCGCGACTGGATTATCGCTGGCTTCTTGATAATCAGACCATCCTTGATCAGCTTTCTTACATTCATTCCTGCACTCATCAGATCAAAAGAAATTAAAAAATGCTATAAGGAATTCATGAAATTGATTAGGAGCATATATGATGTGTGGAAATGGAGATTACTGGAGATGGCGGTGGAGATGTTATTGGTTTGATTGGGATCTGGGTCGACCCAGATCTTCCGTTTCCCACAGCTGAGAATGCTAGCTGCTAGCCTCTTCTGGAGCCTTAGTGACGATGATGATGACACCATTTTTGACTGCTTATTTGATCTTCAATTCCTTCCTATGAGCTCAAGCTAAGGCTAATATATACTTTCTTTCTTAATTGATCAATTTGGTTTCTCTAATGATGTATGTATTTATAGTAGTGAGGAGGAAGACAAGCACAATATTTTATGGAGCATGCAGTTACTTGGGTGCCAAGAACTGGACCTACTTCTATATTCTACCCATTTATTGTTGCATAGTTTGTTAGACTTTTCTGTCTCTTAATTTCTTGGGGCCAAAGGCATAATTTAAAGGGAAAAAAAATGTAAAAATAAATAAACCCTTTAATTTTACTTTCCGTATATAGGGGTGACCGCGGTTCCTGTTCAGAATCGCCGATTCCGGTTCCGCAAATGGACAAATCGGAACCGGAACCTTATGGTAAGGTTCCGGTTCAGAATCGGCAGTTCCGGTTGGAACCGGCAGTTCTAACCGGATTTATTTAAAAAAAAAAATAATGCTATAATTTTTAAAATTTTCCAGTTTGAAACCGGAACCGGCAGAATCGGAACTGTACGGATAGTTCGATTTCGGTTCCGGTTCAACAGTGCACGATTCGGTTCGAACTGTGATCATGCCTACGTATATGTCTTATTTTACATGTCAATTTTTTATTTATTGAAATCAAATTTTTATTCTTTGCTTATTATTATTTTTTAAATAATTTTTATTGTAATTGGATTCATGAATTCCTATTAGGGCCCGCGGAAAATATTTTAAGGGAAATGGAATTGAAATTTCATAGAAATAAAAGCAATTACTAAGAAGATAAATTTCATTGTTTGGTTGGTGAAAAAAAATTATTGGGAATACTAATTCTATTGTTTGGTTAGATTTGAACCCAACATGTTTAAACTATTGTATTAATATTCTTGACTTGTATAAACTATTTTAAATCATTAATTGTTTTTGAAGTAGCCAAAACAATAGTTTGATATATGATTAAAATTTAATCATCAGTAGTTTGTTAATCTAATCATATTGATGCTAATTCTATAGTTAGATTTAAATTAGGTAGTTATTAATTTATTATTGAACTTTAATTTTATTTTTCTTTTATATTTTTTTCTTGTAATTTAAGCATAGAGTGTTTCTTGAACAGTTGAACTTAACACATTTCACAAATCTGTGTTTGTTTGCTGCTTCCTCTAAAATATGACCTGCAATTGTCTAATGCATCTTTTTTGTAAAGCATAAATATAATATGAAATGAGCATAAAAAACAGTTCATCTAAACCACGAGGTGGTCCGGGTCTTTCTCTGTCTGTTTAACGGTTCAGGTCCACCCGACTAATCCTTGTTCGCTCCGGGAGGCACAGAAGTTGGCCCAAAAGGAATCGTCACTTGTAGGAACCAAACCCGGGTTATCCCGAAATTCTCCCCCATAGTTTAACTCATATACTATTCAAATGTATCAAAACTACGTCATTTTCAATGGGCGGGGAAACACTTATTATTATTATTATTATTATTTTTTTAACGAAAATGCTTGTGTTTTATTATAGAGTAAGAAGATAAGATAAGATGATATTTCGGTTTATTTAGATCTAAGTGTTAATTCCTTTTTTATTTTTATTTTTTAGTCCTAGATTTATATGCGTCATTTCACTTTTAGTCTTTTTATCATAACATGCGTTGATCCTAGCATTATTGTAGCATGACCATTTGTGATCCTACGTCAACAAATATGTTTAATTGACAATAAAAATGATGTTATTAACCACTCAAAATCCTCTTGATCATATATACATTAATTGATAACATAAATAATCCATAATTATATTCATTCATAGCCTAATGTTAGCAAAAGTGTTACCAATACATAAATCTATTGCATAACCCAAAAAAAGTGCAATTGAAAAAATCACAAGTCTACTTCATGACAAACCTTAAATTTAGTCCACGAGTCTACTTCAAAAACATTTTAAATTAGCCAATTGTTATAGGAGCTTTAGAGGTGTTGCTAGATTTTTATGAAGTAGACTTATGCACTAGACTTAACGTTTGTCATGAAATAGACTTGTAGTTTTTTCAATTACATCATTTTGAATTTTGCGGTAGACTTATGAATATGTAGTAATTTTTTCTCCATTATGATATGAATGAATTATGAATTATTTATACTATTAATGAATGTATGCTCAATGTATATATTTTTTGAAGCTGTAGAACCATTGTATTGTGTTATAACTTTTATTATCAATAAGAAAGAATAAGGATTTGGAGTGATTAATAACATTATTTTTAATGTCATTTAAACATATTTATTGACGTACGACAAAAATTTGTTACGCCACAATAATGTTAGGACCAACGGGGATGTTTTAAAAAAACTGACTAAAAGTGGAATGACATGTATAGATCTATGACCAAAGATGAAAAAAAAAATAACACTTAGAACTGAATAATAAACCGAAATGTTATTGTATTTAACGCTATTTAAGCGATTTTGGTGACATAGGACTAAAAATGATCATGCCACAATAATACTAGGACAAAAGATGGATATTTTGAAAAACAAGAACTAAAAATATGTTTATATCTATAAATCTATGACAAAAAATGAAATTAACTCTTAAAGAGAATATGAGATTTGTCTAGTTTCTTTGCACATAAATGTTCTTTATATGTATATTCTTAAAGCTCCGTATTATTTTACAAGTTTTTTTGGTTCAACCGTTGATCCATAGATAGTAAAATTAAGGGATAAGGGTCAAATAAGCCCTTAAACTATACTTATTTGTGCAATTAGGCCCTTCAACTCCAAAAAGCTCCAATTAGAACCTCAAACTTACCAAAAAAGTGCAATTAACATTATTTGCAAGTTACTTTCAAGTTAAAAGGTCAACTCTTGATGATTGGATTTTTCAAGCTGATTTGGCGAGCTGACGTGGCTTTCACTTTTTTTTTTTTAAAAAATAATATATTATATTAAATGTAATTTTATTTCCAAAAAAATATATATTAAATTAAATTTTTAATTTTTAATTAATAATAATAATAATAAATTAAAAATGAAAATCAGAAGGAACCCAACCATGGAATTGAAATTAACAGATTAGTTTTAGGTTTCTGCAACTTAGGATTCGATCCAATTTGGTTTATATACTTCATTTACAGCAACTGAATTAAGCAAACAGACACCGCGTGGTATTACAAAGAGCTTACTTTGATGTATTGAAATCCGACAAAATTTCAATTGATTTAAAGCTATAATAATATTACCACTGGAGATCGGATATGTCTTTTTCGAGCTCCGTTCTTGATGGCAGAGGCACAAAGATGAAGTCCAAGGGACGAGACTACCCAGCATCAGGGGATGTAATAGATATGGAGGGTATGGACTGAAAGTTGGCGATGGTGCGTGACGGCAGCGGTGACGACGATGGTGAAGTGATGATGTCAGTAGGATGGCTGTGGCCTCCGACGGTTTGGGCTAGCATAACTTTTTTTTTTTTTTTAATTTTTAATATATGATTATTAATATTTATTAAAAATTAAATTTAATATAATATATTATTTTTAAAAAAATGTGAAAGCCTCGTCAGCTCGCCAAATCAACTTGAAAATCCAATCATCAAGAGTTGACCTTTTAACTTGAAAGTAACCTGCAAATAATGCTAATTGCACTTTTTTAGTAAGTTCAAGGTTCTAATTGGAGCTTTTTGGAGTTGAAGGGCCTAATTGCACAAATGAGTATAGTTTAAGGGCTTATTTGACCCTTATCCCTAAAATCAATAATTTGTCTTTAATAGCCAAACAATAATGGTCCATATTACATTGTATACTCTGATTTAACATAACACTTAAATCATGTGTCTACAGTTAATAGATTATGTAATAATAAATAATTACAAACACATAATATGTAAACTCTAACTCAACTATATTATATTTCTTCATTTTTTTTAATATTACTGACTGTGTTAATATATTCATAACTAACATACTGAAACACAAATAGTCAATACCACCTCTATTGATCCACAACCTTCTATATGTGAAAGCAATTTGATGCCGCTAGACCACAAGTATGTTAACTATTTTTTATTTTTTTGTTAACTACTAGAGTCCACAATTTAACCCTGGCTCCTGCCTGGTATAATTCAACAATAACCGCCTCTACCAAATCTTTTACTACCGCGCGGGGGGGGGGGGGGGGGGGGCGCCTAACAGATAACGTATCCCTTCCTTGAACCTTAAACCCATACGAAACGAACTGAACAAAATCCTTCTTCAGAACAGAATTGCAGAGGGAAAATTGGTGTATTGTAGGCGAAGAAGCAATGGCGTCGCAGCCAGCGAACTTGTGGGTGCTGTTGGGGTTAGGGTTGGCCGGCATTTTGATGCTTACGAGGAAGCTGAAGCGAGCTGTTAAAGTCGACTTCGGAGCCTTCGTCCACCGCCTTCAGCTTCTGCCGCCTCCCCAGCCTCCTCCGCCTAAAGCTCCTCACCCTCTCACCGGCCTTACTTTCGCCGTCTCTGATGTGTAAGCCTTTTTTACTTGAACATTTCTACAATTCTACGTATTCTTTTGCACCAATATATATATAACCCAATAATGAACTGAGATTTTTCTTATCATTTTATTATAAATTCCGTTTTTTTCAATTGGACTGGATTTTTTTTAGTAGTAATGTTGTTTTATTTATGGGTGTTTGAATGGTTTGAGCTTTTGGTAAAATAACAAGACTCACAAGCAGCATTGAATAGGAAAGAGATGAGTTTTCATCCCAAATGGTCTGTCGGGTCGGGGTGTGGGGGCCTTAGGTTGGGGTTCAACCCCTTTTGGAAGAATGAAATGGAGTTTTCATAATTTTACTTATGGTTGCACAGGTTTCATATTGAGGGGTTTGTTACTGGGTTTGGGAATCCAGACTGGTCAAGAACACACGAAGCTGCTACCAAGACATCTGTGGTGGTTAATGCACTTGTTGAAGGAGGTGCTATGTGTGTTGGGAAAACTGTTGTGGATGATCTGGCATTTGGGTTTGTATTGAACTTCTCTTTTCAATATTTCATGGGCATGCAGTAGAAAATGGATCTGTCTCTGTTGTAAATTTTCAATGAATGATAACCTCAATCTATTTTTACTGGCCACTTTTAGTCTTTTCCCTAATTAGTTTGTTGTTTACTGGCGTCTTCAAAACCAGAATGAGTGGTGAGAATAGACATTATGATTCACCAACTAATCCTGCTGCTTCTACACGGGTATCTGGAGGTCCGTCTAGTGGATCTGCTGTAGCAGTAGCTTCTAACCTTGTGGATTTTTCTTTGGGTGAGTTTCATAGTACCAATCCTTTTTCCTTTTTATTGTCTTTTCCTTTTGATGTTCACAACCTAATTTCTTGCACTTGCAGCACAATCTCTACATTAGTTGTTGGATTTGTATGATCAGTTTTAGTACAGCTCTTTTTGTTTTACAGATAAGCTAATTTTTGAGAGTTTACTTTCTCTTTCATTCTTAACCTAGTTTCTCTTGGAAGGTATTGATACAACTGGTGGTGTGCGAGTTCCTGCCGGATATTGTGGAATTATGGGGTTCCGACCATCTCCTGGAACTGTTTCTTATATGGGGGTAATTCCTGTATCACCAAGCCTTGACACTGTTGGTATGTCCTACCCTTTTGTAAATGTTAATAAAAACTGCTCCATAACTAGTTAGATATGTTCTTGTCTTGTGTATATCCATTCTTTATATTAGATTTAGGTTTTGTTTTTTACCCTTTTCTTTTGTTGGTTGTTACTATGGGAAATGCCCTTTCTATGTACATAAAAATATGTTTGGGTTATACATTAGCTTCAATAGGGCCAGTTGTACAACAGGCAACTAAACTGATTTAGCAAGCATGGGTTCCTGGCATAATTCTACACATGATTAGTCCTGCTTGTATCTTTGTCTATTTCCATTCCATTTAATTTGTTCTCTCTATTTAAGTACCTTGTTGATAGTAATTAAATATCCTTTTCCATCTTCAAAAACAAAATTGCTTGTTCTATACATGGTTGTTGATATGGGTTTCTTATTTGACAGATAACTAAATCCAGTGCTTTTTTCCCCATACAGTTTACTGGTATAAATTATGGATTTATCCAATACTGCTTATCTCGTACTTTGTATCTGCTATAGTAATCTCTTGGTGTGTAGCCATTTTCCATATATGTTTACCCTTCGAGCATACTTTTTATAATCTATATAATTCATTTTCATTATGGAATATAATTTTTATTTATTTGTACAAAGTGGAGAAGTAAATCTGAACTAATTAGGTCAGCAAGAGTTTGCTGGCATTAATTATAATTTATAAATACAATTGCTCATGGTTTAACATGTTTATGGGTAATTCAATAATGTAGTTACATGTTTGATGCTTGTAGAAGATAACTATATTGGGTGCTCAAGGCACTAGCTCAAGTTTTGTTAGAAACTTGTAATTTAACAATGTTAAATGTCACTGTCCTTTACATTTGGAATAATGTTTTAATGCTCTCAACATTAACCCTTCTCAGGATGGTTTGCAAGGGATCCCAATATACTGCGTCGTGTTGGACATGTGCTGCTGCAGGTTCCATTTGTTGCGCTACGTAATCCAAGGAACATTGTGATTGCTGATGATTTGTTTCATTCATTAAACATTCCTCCAGCTCAGACCAGTCACGTGGTGATCAAAGCCATTGAAAAGCAGTTTGGAAGTACATCCTCATAATCTGTTCTTGTTGGCATTGAAAAGCAGTATGGAAGTCATTTACCAATCATTCGATTGTGTTCCTAAGAGTTTCCTTTTGCAGGACAAGTGATAAGGCATGAGGATATGGAAACTTATTTGTGTTCAAAAGTTCCAAGCCTAAAGCTTTTCCAGAGCAAGAAATCAAATGGTGAAGCAAAGTTGACAACTATAAAGTTGTTAGCAAATATTTTGCAAATGCTCAAGAGGTAGGTGACGTGAATATTGTAGGTTCAGAATTTTGATTTGGATAGGAATAGGAATGAACTGTTCTAAAGCTATGTTTCTCAATGTTTTTTCCATTAGTTGAAATTAGGGATTTCTGTACCATAGTAATTTTGGTTAATTCGGTCCATAACTTAATTACATTGGTTCGATTAATGGTTTAAGTTTTGAAAAAATTTAGTCATCAGCTAATTCAGTTTAAAATTTTGGAATTTACTGATTTAATAATAAATACAGTAATAAATATATTACATAATATAAAATTTTGGTCAATTCAGTTAGTTAACCTTAATATAATTTGGTTAAGTTAATTTGGTAAATTGTACTTTGGTTCGGTGAATGGTTTCACCAAAATGAAATTTCAGTTAATTCGGTTCAAAATTAACCAAATTAACTGAAATTACAGATGACCAGGCCTAATAGTAACATATGAATTTGATTTAGAAGCATTCTTAAATTTTGCAGTATGTGCTTTCAAGAAGTTTCTTCAAATTTCTATGGTTCAGGAGTGAAAAGTATGAAGTATTGACAATTTGTGGTTGATGTTGTGCTTTATCTAGATGTTGTATCTTCTGTGGTTGGTTATGTTTCTCAATATTGTGGAGGACTTTACTTTTTCTTTTTTGTCCCTCCTAACCCAACATAAGTGATTGTCGCTGCATCCTGAATTGCTATATGTTTTGTTCACACTCTACAGTCATGAATTCAAGCAAAATCACGGAGAGTGGATCGATTCTGTGAAACCTACACTAGACCCTGCTATCACAGCACAGCTACATGGAGGGCTGGAGATGGCAGCTATAGATATTGAAAACTGCCATGTAGTCAGGAACGAAATGCGATCAGCTCTAAGTAATCTTCTAAAGGTACTTAAAAGTCCAATATTTTAATGAAGTGTGTTGCAAACTCATTATTAGGGTCTTTGTTGAATTGCTAGTGTTCTGCTGATTGTATTCCTATTTCCATTTTGCTAGATACTTTAACCCTTTGATTACTATTCATGATTCACTGGATCTCCATTTTCTCACATCCATGATCCATCCTATATGTATCGACTTATTCTACCTTGTAATATATGAAAACCTTAAACCTCTAAGGAGCTTTGCACCCATGCTTCAATGAAATTTTTTTGCAGGATGATGGAATTTTGGTTATCCCCACTGTTGCCGATCCACCTCCAAAGCTTGGTGCAAGTGAGATTCAATCGCAGGACTATCAAATTAGAACATGTTCATTTTCAACCATAGCGAGCCTGTCAGGTTGCTGTCAGGTGAGGATCTACCTGTCTCACTTGCGTTTGTGGGCAGACCAAACATCCCTCAGCCCCTTCCTATGATAGTGTTAAGATTTATCTATTTTGTAATATACAATCCTTTATAATTATTGTCTTCTTTCTTTGTTGAATTTTATATTAGGTCTCGGTACCACTTGGATCACACGATAAATGCCCAATCTCGGTGTCCCTTATAGCAAGGCATGGAGGTGACCGATTTTTACTTGATGCTATACAGACTTTATATGCTACTCTGCAGGAACAATCTGACATAACTGCAAAGTCTAAGTCATCCGGTAGTGCTATCAGTACTGAAACATCTGCTGAGATGGCTAAGGAAAAGGTGTAAATATTAACTTTCATTTGGATCTTTCCATATTTAACATAGGATAGTTTAAATAGCTCCGTTACTATGGTTTTGGTTTTATCAACTCTATCTGGTTCTATGCTTATTTTTCTTGTTCATGTGCTGTATACATATGTACATATTTTGTTCGGTTCTACAGCACGGTATATGTCAATGTGTGAATTATCCGAGGAGTCTTTACAGAATCTTTCATGGTACTAAACTTGTTCGTCTTAAAGGAAGGTTCCTATATGACTCATGTAAGTTGGTAAAATTTTTAAAATTCTTTTCCAGGGTAACCAAGCGTATAAAGAGAAACAGTGGCAGAGGGCTATTGGCTTTTACACAGAGGCAATCAAGCTGAACGGTAATAATGCAACATACTTTAGCAACCGAGCGGCAGCATATTTGGAATTAGGAGGGTAATTTCCTTTCTCAAATCTTTTTGCTTCATAAGGTATTATGAATTTCATAACTTTTATCCTTATATTCTTTTATACTCTTATCTAGCTTCATCCAAGCTGAAGAAGATTGTACTAAAGCCATTGATCTTGATAATAAGGTACTTTCTCTTTCCCTTCTCATATTCATTTGTATGGCCGGCTTGCTATAAGGGAGAGTTTGGTCATTTGTGATGGTGAACTATTAATACTCCCTATGAACCAACATGGTTGGCGTGGTGGTTCAGCACCTCGTCCCTTAAACATGAGGTTGGGGGTTCGATCCCCACCCATGTGAATAGAGCAAACCATTTGGCCAGTCCCCTACCACCTAGTGTGCTGACAGTAGGGACGCGGGATTAGTCTTCTGGCTATCGGCTGGAGGGATACCCTTGGGCAACCAAAAAAAAAAAATTTAATACTCCCTATGAAGTCCTTAAGTACAATGGTTCTCTATAACTCTCTTACCTTTTCCTGTGTTTCGTCGTGCAGAATGTCAAAGCTTACCTCAGAAGGGGCACAGCACGGGAGATGCTAGGCTACTATCAAGAGGCGATTGAAGGTGAATTGTCTTCTTTACCCAAATCGAACAATATTAGGAAGTAAATGTGGCTGATTACGCTATATTTTAGTTCGTGGTGGGAATTGAGCACTTCGCAGTAGTAGATGGACCTATTTGACACTTCTGCCCATTTATTACTCTACCTAAATGACTAACTTTGGGCGGGGGAAATATTTGTTTTACTGATCCTCGTTTGGCCTCGAATGGTTAAACCTTCCAAAGCTATTGAGGATGAGCTTTGAGAATTGAAACCATATAATAGTACTCACACAACTCGGGTTCCTTGTCTTGTCTTCCTCTGTTTTCTGAAGCTCCCCGTTCGCTTCCTTCTAATTATGCAGATTTCAGATATGCGCTTGTCCTTGAACCGAACAACAAAAGAGCGGCTCAGTCTGCTGACAGGCTAAAGAAGTTGTTTTTGTCGAGTTATTAGAGCATTAACCGTGTTCAGGCATACTTCAATCCCCATGGAGAGGAACCGATAAACCTCCCTCCAAAGGGTAGAAGGAGAAGATTGAATTTTTGTTCAAATCCAGAGGTATTTACGAATAGAAATTATTTTTGTTTAACAGGGAAAGTTTGAAGATATGTGAGGAGAAGTAGTAGTTCATGCTACATAGCATTGGTCATCATGTCATATGACAATTTTTTTTATTATTTTATTTTTTGTTTATTGAAAAAATGATCTCTTTTTGGAATGGGCACAATACATTGTTGTAGGCATTCATTTTCCACACCTATGCTCACTTGTCAAATGCAATTAAAATTGAAGATACTTCATTTTATTCATTTATATGATGAAGGAGAACGACCATCCCAACAGCAGTTTTTTGTGCACACATGGATGTGTGAGACAATGAGTTGGAGGAGAGAAGAGTGAAGAAAAAGAAAAAAAGAATTTTTTTTTTGCTTTTTTGTGGGCCTAGTGGTGAAGGAAAAAAAAAATAAAAAAAATTACCCGGTGCACCATGTGCACTCAGCGGGCGCATGCAGCACACTCGCCAGCTTGGCACTTGAAATTCGTTCATATGTGGTTAGTGGCTACTGTTTCCTGTGTGGTCGTGTAATTTTACACCACCACGTGGTTAGAAATGTGCCAAGATGTGGATTTTACAAACTGAGTAGGTGGTGCTGAGAAATGCATCACATCCTGATGCATTTCTGAACACGTGGTGGTGCATTTATGTATACATAGTGGTGCAAAATGTGGCATGTTGCCTGTAAAATTCTTCCATCTCCAATCCAATGTGGCATGTAAAATTCGTGTGAAAAAATATCACTATTGGGGTTGCTCTTATTTTAATTATCTATTTTTATTTTTCGGTTTTCATGATTTATTCTCTATTTTATATTTTTATTTTTCAATTTTCTATTTTCTATTTTTTAATTAGAGAATTTTTTTCAATTAGGAAATACATCCAAATGTTCTTAGGAGCATGATTGATTATGATAATTTAACTAACAATTAGACATTATTACAATATGAATATTATTATTGTGTAAATTATAGTATGTCAGAGAAATTATATTATAAAACATCTTTAAAAAATCAAGAAAAATGATGTTTTAGTCATCTAATTATTAAAAAATAAAATAGTGAAACTAATTTTTAAAATTATTGAGATTTCCATATTTTTTTTTCTTTTGATAGAAGATCTCCACATTTAGTCCTTCAATTATTATTTTAGTGACGGATTAGTCTCTCAATGCTATCTGTTAGAAATATGATAATTGATTACTAAAAGTTAAGTAATAACAAAAAGAATTTGTCATAAAATTGCAACGTGTCATAAAAGTTTAATATTTTAGTTATAAATTAATTGACCTAGATTTGATGTGAAGTGTAAAATAAGTTTGTAAAAAATTCAATATTTACAAAAATAATAAATTATTAATTAAAAAAAAAAAGAGTAAAAAAGACAGGGCTAGACAATAACCGGCCCCGCGTACATGTCGACCTTCTTCAACGTCTTTGAAAACTGTCTCTCTCGCATGGAAGCATCTGATCTTCGCCTACAACGCGGGGAGAAGAAGGGCATCAACGCAGAACGTCATCGATTCTGTAATGGAAGAAATCTTAGGAATTCTCAAAGTTCATATCAAACGAGGTGTCAACCTCGCCGTTCGCGATATGAGGAGCAGCGATCCCTACATTGTTGTCAAGATGGATCAACAGGTCTGCCATTTGAGCTTTAATTTTTACATTTCTCTCTCGGATTTGAATAAGATGATAATCTCAATTGCTGCTTTATTTAATACGCTGCTCATTTCTGGAAACCTTATATATATATATATGCTTCCGATTCAATTCTTTCCCCTTTTTATGCATTTAGGCTGAAATTCCGAAGCTCAATTGTTTTTTCAAAGTCTCATCATCTTTTTAGTGCCTAATTATTCATTTCCGTTTTTGTTTTTAATTACTTTAATTGGTTTCCCAAGGAGTTTTGCCAATTCATATGAAAAAAGAATTGGAAATTGTTATTTATTTTTCCGCCCCTTCTTGTTTTATGGAGAATTCTTGTTAATGAAGCCAATTGTTGTTGTTATAGTTTTGATGCTAATTATGGATTACCATATGCATGCCTGTAGTTTGTTTTAATCCACCTTCTTTAAGAATTTGTTAATGAATTAGATGGATATTTACTTTGTTTTGTCAACCTAACATAGATTATTAGGATTAAGGATTAGCTGAGTTACGAGCAAATACCAATTTTGGTCCCATGAGTATTAGCACAATGACAATTTTGGTCCACATGTTTAATACCTACCAATACTATTGTTTTAGTGTCAAAATTCATCACGCCGATCACCCCTTCGTTTAAGACATGCCGAAATATGAAATTATGAAGGATATTTTTGTCCTTTCAAATTAAGATCCCAATTTGAGCATAAATAAAGAAATTTAAGCCCTACCATCATCTCAATTCACAGTTCTCCTCCTCAAATTAAGGTAGGATGATGATGAGAATTGCGAATTGAGATCGATTTTAGGACTTATATTTCTTTATTCATACTCAAATTGGGATCTTAAGTTGAAAATGACGAAAATACCCTTAAAATTTTTAGATTTCGGCATGTCTTAAACTGAGGGGTGACCGTCATGATGAATTTGGCCTTTATGCTTTCACTTTGAGCAAAAGGAAGTTGCATCATCTTCAGTGTTGTCAAAATTGGCCGAGGCGAAAAGGGTATAGGCGGTTGCTAGTCGGCCAGATTTTTAAAAAAAAAAAAAAAAAAAAATTGGTTTTTCCGCTCAAAATGACGTCGTTTTCAGCGGTTTTTTTTATAAAAAAGGCATTCCCGACGCCCGCCTAGCACCTAGGGCCTTTTGCAACATTGATGATCTTACTTTTAATTATGTTTTTTTAAGTAGAAGGTTTCTATTGCAATGAACTAGTAGCTAAGTCCTAAGATATTATTAAGGATAAAGCATAGTGTAGCTTGACATCCAGCTACTTTTATGGATACATCATTATTATGTTTGTGACAGAGTACATGATACTGATTTTAAAGAACACTAATAGGATTAGCAATATCTTTTTGGTCATAGTTCCTTGTACTTTGTGGATTATGGTTATCCCAACATGAAAAATTGCCCATATTCCATCTTTTTGCATATTTACGCAGAAGATGAAGACTCGTATTGTACAGAAGGACGTCAATCCTGAATGGAATGAAGATCTTACCCTTACTGTCACAGATCCTAACACTCCCATTACGCTGGTAATTTTCTTATCACTTTGGGTAAATGAGAAAAAAGAACCCCGATCACTGTATAGGATATTAGGGTATAGGATTAGAAGAACTGCTTCCTCTTAGATCATATTGCTATCATATTGTTATATGTGAAAGAATGATGATAATTTAAGGGTTCTTAACTTCTTCTAATGTCTATGTCTGCTTTTTCAACACCCTTGTAGAGAAAATTGTATTTGAAGCATGTGCATTTCTGGCAATATGAAGAAGTCTGCTTCTTATGAAGTTTGGTTGACAATATTTGGTAGTTTCTGATATGATGTTCACATATATATGGTTGTTGTATGGTGTTGTAGACGGTGTACGATCACGACACATTCACGATGGACGACCTAATGGGAGACGCAGAGTTCGACATTAAGCCATTTCTAGACGCCCTGCAGATGAATTTAGATGGGTACCCGAGTGGCACCGTGATCACACGAATACTACCGTGCAGGGCTAACTGCCTGGCCGAGGAGTCGTGTGTGGTCTGGAAAGACGGCATGGTCTCGCAAGATATGTGCCTGCGATTGAGAAACGTAGAGTGCGGCGAGGTGGAGCTCCAACTTCAGTGGATTAACCTCCCTGGCCAGTTAGGTTGAAAACTTGAAACTTGAAAGAGAGCAGCACCCACCACTCTCTCTTCTTCTTCAAATCTCTACTGCTGTTCTGTTAAGCATTTGGTTCATAGCCCCAATGTCACATAAAATGGACCTCTATGACCATTTATGTAAGTTATGTATCTTAACATGCATATATCATATATGGGCCCTCAAATATTTCATTTATTATTATTTTTCTTTTTTAAATTTTCATGAGATAAATGTACTCAAAATCTTCTTCTTCTTTGTAATAATAATAAGATTGTAATTTTACATAAGAATGGATTATAATTTATACCTGCCTTCTTATTTCCAGTATTTTTCTTTGAAACCCAACTCAGTGTTCTTGTACATAAAATAGAGCGTTTGGTTGGAATGAGAGAATTAGGGGGAAAACAATTGTAATTCTATGGGAAAAGATTAAGGTGAGAATTCAATTACATTGTTTGGGAATTAAAATGGAAGAAATGAATAAAGACTAAAATGTCATTGTATAATAATAATATACTCTGTAATAATAATAACAAGGGCAAAATAGTAATTTATTTTAAAATTACAAACTATGAAATTGCAATTATTAGGGGCCATAGAAATTGCAATTTCATGAAATTTGGTAGGAACAAAATTACAATTTAATCATACCCAACACCCAAATTTTTAGATTATGTTTGTTTGGTAATAAAAAAATAAGTAGATTCCACCATTTTAGCATTTTAATTAAGTCAAAATTTTAAATAAATATTTGATAATCACCAGATTCATTTTAGTGTTTTGAATCCAAAACGCTTTTATGACCGACCCTCGTTTGATATTCAAATGGTAAATATAAATAATTTATCCATGTTGTTCTTAAAAGGTTGAATCCAACTCCAAGGACTCCCATACCCCGATTTGACAGAGCATTTGGGAGGATGTAGATCACGGTGACTCAATGGCTCAATCAAGTCCGAATTTTGGACTGTGCAAAATGTCCAAGAGCATAGTGCCTCAATTTTTAGAGGGTTCAATATTTATTTTTGACCTAACTACTTAAGAAATAAAAAGACAATCTGCAGTTAATCCTGAAATTCATTAGTTTTTTCCTCAAATCACTTTCTTTCCTAATAATTAGGACCTAATTAATTGAGCATGCGCATGGCAAAACCGTTATGTTTTTCCAATGACACAGATGATGCCTTAAGCCCTGAATCTGTAGAGATAACTTCCCCCTAATAGATTGTTCTACTTGCATTTCAAACGATAGCGGCATGCCAACAGGTAGCCACTAGCATAGTTTAAAGATGTTTTTTTTTTTTTTTTTTTTTTTTTTTTTTTTTTTTTTTTAAATAAAATTTTTCTGTTTGTTTGGACTTTGGAGATACTAGATTATAAATTTATAGAATTCTTATAGTTTTGTTTTAAAGATTATGCTTATACTTTTTAGCAGTCTCATTTATTTATTTATAAGATCGAGATCACAAAAATTCAAGAATAATTTATCCATGTTGAGTTAATTGATTGATGCCATTTCTAGGACACGACAAAATCTTTAGAATACAAAAACTTTAAAAATATTGTCTTAATACCATTTTATTCCTTTAGGGAGAAAACAAATTTGAAAAAGGGCAGGCAATTTGGGCAAGGGGAACAAAATCTTTATAGAAATTGATGGTGTGAACCAAAGTCCAAGGAAAGGTTTTACCAGCGGATTAGCCAAAGAAAGAGACAAAAACAAAGTTAACATCAAAGTAATCAAATGCATGCCCTTTTATACTCTTTGAAAACATAAGCTGTTCCTCTGATTTATTATTCTTTTAAAAAATAATTTTCCTAAAAATGTGTGGTAATTTGCGCAATTTAAACATAATGTTGGGTGGTTTTGGAATTCCAAGAGAGTTGTGACCCCTTCTCGACATTCATTTACCACTACCCCAACTTCCCAACCTTCTCACCAGTCACCACACGTTTCCGTAAACCGTGGAGTTTTATTAAATCCAAGGACAATATTTTACCTTATCTTTAAAATCCTTCCATCCCAAACATCAAATATTTTCCTAATGCTTTAATTTGCATGTTGCTTCACCACAAATATTAATCTAAATTCTCATTGCTTTTGTGTAGTAAAATTCATGATTATAAATTGTAATTATAATTTGTGATGATGGATTACACATGATTAACAATCAGTTAAATCTAAAGGGTTTATCGATTCATGAATAGATTAATTAATATCAAAGTGTAACTTTTGAAGTTATGTATTTTTTGTTTCAGAAAAGTTTATTTTAGTGCCTATTGGGGTCACTTTAGGTTTATATGCATAGGGGTTAATTAGATGTTTGCTTAGATACTAATACATTCAAGTTATAGTAATAACCGTGGAAAATATTATTTAGTAAATAATAATTATAGATGGTGGTTATACTTTTTGATTATGAATTTATTCATAAATGATTGATTTTTTTTTTTTATTATCACGAGGGAAACTCACATTCAGTATTCGAGGATGTGCACTGGGTAAATCATTTTCTTATGAAATTGTTTCGAGGGTGTGTATTGGATAAACCCTACTCTTGTGTAATAGCTTGCAAATCGCACAAGAGAGATAAACCACACTAAGAAGACCAAGTGAGATAGGCTCAACTGAGAGGATATTAGCAAAAATTGAACTCGTGATCTTTTGGTACAAGAATCATAATATCATACTATACTCACTCGACCACCCCTTCTAGGACAGATGATTGACTTTTTAGTAAGCAATGTTAGTGTAGGGTTTTTTTTTTTTGTTTTTTTTTTTAATTTTTTAGAGCTATTGAGAAAATCACTTGTGTATTAATCTTGTGATCGAGTGTTTTAGCCTTTACATCTTTAAGCGTTATTTAAACTTAATCCGAGTATCAACTTGCATAAACACAAAAACCAAACTATTAATTACTTTATTTAATTTATCTATTCACAATTTTTGTATTTTGGGGAAATTGACTAAGGTTAATGAAAACAACAAAATTTCCATCAAACTATCCTTTTAGCGCACTATATTAGTAACGTTGGCTCCTAAAGAATTATGACATTTGTTTGATTACACTTTAAGGGGCCGTTTGGTTCACGGAATGTCAGATTACCTTAGGGAATGTTGGATTGCTGGGAATGTTAGATTCCTGTGTTTGGTAAAAACTAAGATATATAATATAAACATGTTTGGTTGAAGTATTGTTATTTATGTTATAATGATTATTTTACTTTAATACCCTCAATATATTTTAATGCATTTCAATATTCCAATGCATGTAACCATGCAAAATTTGATATATATATATATATATATATATATATATATATATAATTAATTAATTAATTTTCATTCTTTCATCCGAAAAGTTGACTCGTGACTTCATACATACAGATTCTTTAATTTCTACAAATTCAAATGTGGCTTCCACAAAGTTGATTTTTCATGTTAAGCAAAGTGAACTTAGCTTGCTTGCTTTAACCGAAAGGTTAATTTTGATTTTTTTATTTTTTTTATTTTTTCGGTAAAAAAACAAAGCAATGTGATGGAAAATGAAGGGCAAAGTTAGTAAAATGTCAAGGGAATCTTTTAATACCTAAGAATTCTAAGGGAATCACATTCCCTTCAAAAGAGGGAAAAAGATGATGTGGAGGGTAAATTTTATTCCATGGGAATGTTGCATAACTCCAACCAAACATAGGAATCTTATATAACCAACCAAATATAACCTTGGTTATCTTAGATAACCCGAACCAAACGCCCCCTAAGAGTGAAAAGATAGATTTACCTTGGTTAATCACCTTTTTCAATGCTTTAAACTCCATCACCTTCTGCATAATTATATGTATACAATGATTACAATTTACAAATACTGATAAAGCGTAAATGATGTGAATATATAGTAAATAAATTGAGCAGTGGAATATTAAATAACCCTCACTAACTTATCACAAACGTAATGTAATTATATCATGTACAAAGAATGTATTTTCTCAATACTTAATATATATCTTTCGTTAATTAAGCGGGTTTACAAATGCGAAGACTGACCTGGATATGTCTTGGTCTCCAAGGCTGGGAGACTTGGTATGGACGACAAAACAATCACTTTTGCCACCACATGTTATGACTAACTTGAATAGATGATAATGTGTTGCTATGTTAGATCGTCAATGAGAAATTCGACATGTGTTTCTAATGAGAACTTGCATATGATGGGTAGTACTAGCTAGTGTTCTGGAGCTAGTTCTGTGAGAATGGAGTAGTGTCTAGATCATTAGCATAAGTCATATTTGCTTGAGGACCGTGCTCCAAAATATCTCCTATAGCATTGTAGTGCAGTATGACTTAGATTGCTGCAGATTTGACACTTTGGAACATAGCGACGACTACATTCACAACTCCAACCTCCTCTATTGTCACGACCACGTCCACGAGGTTGATTAACAATGCATTCGGTTGTGAGGCAGCGCTCCTGTCGAGAAATAAGTGTTGGTGGTTTCGGAGTAGTCAAGGAAACGTTATCTGCGTAGATGAATTAATGTGTGTAGCACCATATGAGAAATTTGACATGTGTTTCTTATAAGAATTGGCATGATGGGTAGCACCATAGTCCGAGGGCCAGTTCTGTGAGTATGGAGTAGTGTCTAGATCATTAACGTAAGTCATATTTACTTGAGGACTGGGCTCCAAATCTCCAATAGCATCATAGTATAATATGACTAAGATTGCTGCAGATTTGACACTATAGCATTGCAGTGTAGTATGACTAAGGTTGCTGCAGATTTGACACTTTGGAACATAGCAACGATCACGTCCACGACTCCAATCTCCTCTATTGTCACAACCACGTCCATGAGGTTGATTAACAATGCATTCAGTTGTGAGGCCGCACCCCCGTTGGGAAATGATGAGTGTTAATGGTGGTTCCATAGGAGTAGTCAAGAAAATGTTATCTGCGTAGATGAATTAATGTGTGGTGAGATAATCATTGACTTGATCAATCATCACAAGTTCTTTGGTGGTCAATGGGATTTAGATTCTGTTCATCTAAACTAATTGGTCGATCGGCTTCAATAAGAAGTCCAATTAAAATCTTGACTTTGCCTAGATACTCACTCGTAGTGGAATCCCCTTGACGCAAAGACGGTAGCTAACTAATGAGACTCAGAGATCGTGCCTGAGTAAAGGACCCAAATTGGGACGTGACATGTCCCACTGCAACATACATAACCTAATCTATCGGATTGAGATGAGATGAGCATGGACAAGATAAAAGAATATTGATAGATTCGATTTTTTACTGCAAATGGGCTCAACTAAACACCCATCTGAAGCCTGAATAAACGAAGCCGGACACGATAACGTGCCATCAACTTATACACTAAGATTGACCATGGAGAAAGGGAACAAGTTGAATCTTCCAAAATAGGTACTTTGAGGAGGTAAGTTTAATGGAGATAAAATGATGAGCTGTCTATAGAGTGGTTTGCAACCATGGATCATTTGGTATACTGATACTAGATGAAAATAATAATTTTGAAAATAATTTTATTATTAATCACTTTTAGTCTACAAAGTACATTATGTATTTATAAGAATATAGTTCTAGTCAGGTGAGGAAGGATAAAAGATAGATTTACAATAATACTAAGAGAATGAGAAGAAATTCTAGTGTAACTAGAATATATAGTCCTAATATTTCTTGCTTCGACACTATAAATAGAGAGTTTCTCTAGCCAATTATGGGATATGATGATTTTCTAGGCTTTTTTTTTTTTAAAGGGAAAAGATTAACTTGTTCAATACAAGAAGGCTGGGATTGAAAATAACCAAATACTAGAACCAGCTTGAGAATGAGTAGCCCGCGCTATAACGTGGGCAAGCTTATTCGCTGATCGAAGAATATAAAATATTGTATTTTTCTTCTCCCAAAAACTGCCTACTAAACCAGTGAGTTAAGCTCATGCAGGCTCTTCAATTGTATTTCTACACAGCAGATTACATGCGATATATACAAACATATAAAAATTTTCGTTATCATTAACTTGTTACAAATTTAATGTAATTATATCATGTATCATATATTATGTAATTTTATCATATCAGATTATATATCATATATAGAGAACGTATTGTTTTTAAACTTATAATTGCTAACTAGATAAATTGAAGTTAATTAAGTATATGAAATTATTAACAACTTGTCATCGATTTGATATAATTATATTATATACAAATATCGTATTTTTCTCACTAGTAAAAACGTAACTGACAAGAATACAAGATATAAAAGTAAAAATAAAAAAAATAAAATCATAATCAACTTTATCACAAACTTAATGTAATCATATCATTTAGAGACAGTATTTTTCTCTAACACTAATACGTATCCTTATTCAATCTTTTCAAACATTTTAAAGGCAATGTTAAGTACTATATATGACATGCTTTAATTTGGTTGATAACATTATGAACGTCAGGCCAAGAAAGAAAAACCAACAATATAATAGCCCACAAATGCAATCATTTCATGATATCAAATCAGATGAGGTGGTGAGGAGCATATATGGAAGTAACATAAGCCAATATAGAAAGCACTATTGGATGGATCTAATTAAAGGTACATATATGAGTGAATATAATGGACGACAAACCAAAACATTAAAAACCACCGACGACTACAACAAACAAGCAAGCACCATATACATCCTTAATTAATAATTTTGCTTTTTCCTTTTTTTTTTTTTAATATGTACAAAATTAGGTTCTGATGTGGTTGTGCGGTGAGAGGAGAGCCATTGATTTTGATTAAATCAACATTCAGGATTACCAAAATTAATAATAATAAAAAATACGGTGGCAATTTTATCATTTTTGCATCTAGGTCAAATTTAAGGTGCAGTGCGTGAGTTTTGTACTTAAGGTGCGTGGGTTTTGAGCTTAAGGTACATGAGTTTTGTGCTTAATGGAAGTAGTTGTTGAAACTTAAGGTGCGTTGTTTTCCTTCTTAAGATGCGTGATTTGTATGCTTAAGGTGCGTCAGTTGTGTAAAACTTAAGGTGAACCATTTTAAAACCTTAAGGTGCTTTGTTGTGTGCTTAAGGTGTTTTGTTTGTGTGCTTATGGTTTGTGTACTTAAGGTGCGCCAGTTTAAACTGCACAACTGCACAGGAACCCTTCCCCAGTTCCCCGCACCCGAACCCTTCCATATATATATATATATATATATATATATATATATATATATAGAAGAGCGCTCATATGTGGTCATGTCATTAGGTGTGGTCGTATCCGTGTCGTTGAAACAGTTTAATCTAACGGTAGTGGTAATTCTGAGGATTTTCGCGCGTTTTGGTAAGTGGGGGTGTTATGGTAATTACAATGGCCATTTATAGAAGGCGGGTTCCAGAATACACCAACAATGTTGACAACATACACCAATAATGTAATAAAACACACCACAGTGAAACACACCAATGGTGTATTCCCGTGTTTTGGTAATTACTGTGGCCATTTATAGCCGCCAGGTTCCAGAATACACCAACAGTGTTGACAACATGCACCAATAGTGTAATAAAACACACAACAATGTGATTTTCCCTATTCCGGTGTTTTATGACGAGTTTACCCTTGCAGTTCGCTGGGTAGGAGAATGTGCGCGAAAATACTGGAAAAATCTTGATTAATATGATTCATTGGATCTATCTAATCTAATGGCCTATAATTGACCATATGACCACACCTAACAACATGGCCACGTGTGATCACCCCTCTATATATATATATATATATATATATATATATATATATATATATATATATATATATATATATGCTGTTTTTGTCACCCTCTTTAGACCTCACCGTGGTCCTTTGCAAAATTAACTGCCCCCTAATCCCCCATATTCGAATATCTAGCTACCATCTTTAACGTTATCTTTTAGCCAATCTTCTTTTTTATGGTAGAAAGTTGGTTGGTGAGGTATAGGTTAGAATGGTGTCGGGTACTTTTAGGGAGATGCATGAATAAATATATTTATAGTTGCTAGCAAATTTAAGCCTAACGAGTGAACGTAGGATCATTTTCTTGAAACTCCATTAGAGATTGTGAAAACTTTGTTATTAATCATATATAGCAAGCTCGATCATATATCAACAGTTGGGTTTTTGCTTAAAATTTTGTAACTCCAACAAGAAAGCTAGGAAAGAGATTATTAAAAAAAAAAAAAAAAAAAAAAAAAAGTCAATTGGTCTGACGACCACCTTGAGGCGCTCTTCGGGCAACTAGGTCTAATTTTTTATTATTATTATTTTTTAACAATCAGCGGAGCTCACAAATAACTTAACTTTTGCAAGCACCCAAACCCTCTCTCTCCCTCCCCCTCCACCTCACCAAAAAAAAAAAAAATCACAAAAAATCCACCCAATACTACTATTGGGGATGCTCTACTATACTTAAGCCAACAACTTTATTTGTGAATAATATAATTAAGAGATCCCTATGAGAATTTGTTCTTGATGGAAATCAAACGTTGTAGTATATAAGATTTTTCACTAGGTGTTAATTTTCTTTTTATTACAAAAAGTTCCAGGCTTCCTTTTATAAAGAACTTATATTGTTCCTATAAATATATTTATCACTTATTGTAATCCCTATTATTATTATTATTATTATTATTATTATTATTATTATTATTATTATTATTATTATTATTATTATTATTATTATTTGCTTTTTTTTTTTTTGGAGTGAATTTGCTTCTTTTTATTTCTTACAAATTCTACCAACCATCTCTATTTGTTTTTAGATAATAGTCTTATGCTTGTAGAAGTTTTCAATTTTTCATATACTAATTTTGTCAAATGAACACTTTAACTGTGTATATATAGAATCTCTTAGGTTCAATCCCATTCACATTAAAAAAGATATTTTAAAATTGTTTTGAGTGGGGATACTGAGAGCATGCCATACGAGACTTGTACATGTTATCACCTTATGTCCTTATCAAAATTTAAATATAGAGGAAAAAGTAAACAGTTTATGTGCTAACAGTTCACCTTCCAAAAGTTTGTCCTAAAAAAAAAAACAAATAAATAAAATGAAAAAGAAAAGGAAAAAAGTAAGGCAAATATAAGCAGAAAAAAAGAGTGTAAAGACTAAAGACGCAGTTTAATTGATTGTTTAGTTTAAAGTAATACTCCCTAATAAAGATATCTTCATATCTACTTTCTAAATTTATTGAATCATAAAGAGTCAATATCACCTCCACTAGAGATCCAATCCATTACCTCTCATTTTTTTTTTTTTTTTTTTTTTTTTGAAAACCAAAGACAATGCATTAATTCAAATCCGAAGAAAGGGTATTACAAATGATAGGAGGAGGGTTCGTGAACCACTCCGAGCAACCAGACAAAGAAACAGACTGCCTAGCTAAGAGATGGGCCGCCTGATTCGCGGATCGCTTGATAAAAACTAAACTACAATGAGTAAACGAGCTCATTAAGCTTTTGATATCTGCCAAGATTAAGTGAAAAGAAGACTCTCCATTCCCTGAAATATAACTCTGGACAACTTGTTGGGAGTCGGTCTCAATGATGATGTTGTCGACTATGAACGGTTTGATCCAGTTGAGGGATTCTCGAATAGCCAAAGCTTCGGCTTCTCTAGATGTAAGAACGCCCCTCCAGTGAGCTCCCCTTCCTGCTATGAACTGCCCATGTTCATCCCTTAGAACGCAACCAAAACCCATGCAACCTTCTTCCTTGTTAATAGCAGCATCCACGTTCAACTTTATGAAGCCATGTTTTGGTTTACTCCAATTTTCCTGAGTGACGGTGGTTTGCTGTTTGGTATACTCAATTGTGTTTGTTGCTAACCAGGCTGAGTAGTAGGTTCTTGCCTTGATGATCAGACTTCTTGTTGATTCCATAGACTGGTTTTTCCAAACAATGTTGTTCCTCAGATTCCATAAAAACCAGCAAACCATAGATAAGATACAAAACTGGTCATCTGATAAGATCTCCATGGTATTGCTCAGCCAAGATTGGAAGTTATCTGCAGAGTTGTGAAGAGAGTGAAAGCGAAGAAAGCTCCAACAAGACTTGGCATACTCACATTCAACAAGAAGGTGTACAATGGATTCTCTTCCGTTGCTGCACAGGCTGCACCTATCTACGCAGTTGACATGTCTCTGCCTGAGATTGTCCTTTGTAGGGAGGCAGGAATTGCAAGCCTGCCATAGGAATGTTTTGACCTTTGGAGGGATTTTATAATGCCAGATGCTACTCCATTTGATGATGTCCTCCTCAGTGAGCTCGCCACAAATAGATTTGTAGCAACTTTTAACCGTAAATTTGCCGTTATCTTCTGGGCCCCAAATAATCTTGTCCTGCACTTGTTGAAAGGTTAAGGGGATCTTCATAATTAGATCAGCATCTCTGGGAATAAAGATGTTCCTAATGGTGGATTCATCCCAATCATGAGTATTGGGATCAATTAGATCTTCCACCTTAGAATTCTCCATGAACGGGTAAGGAAAAGACAAAACCTTAGGGTTGTTGTTGTCCGGCAGCCAATTGGCACCACAAATGTTCGTCTGTGCCCCATCCCCAATTCTCCATCTTGAATGTTTGCGGATGATATCTTGTGTAGCCATCAAGCTGCTCCATATGAAAGACGGATTGGCTCCCACTTTGGCATCAAGAAAGGATGAGTTAGGGTAGTATCTCGCCTTATAGACTTTGGAAACCAACGAGTCGGGGTTGTTGGTTAACCTCCAAGATTGCTTGCACAAAAGGGCTAGATTAAATTTATGAAAATCTCTAAACCCGAGTCCTCCCCACTTTTTTGGCCTACACAGAAAATTCCATCTTTTCCAGATAATACCAGTACTATTTCCCCCGCCTCCTTTCCACCAATACGAGTTCATAGTAGTCTCAACAGCTTTGATTAAACCCTTTGGCATAAGGAAGACTCCCATGGCATAAGTAGGGAGAGCTTGAAGAACAGATTTCAAAAGAATCTCCCTTCCCGCTCTGGATATGAATATGTGGTTCCACCCGTGAATCCGGTTGACAATACGGTGCTTGATAAAGCTAAGAATTTCAGTCCTGTTCCTTCCTATCATCATAGGGAGCCCCAAGTAGTTTCCATTGCTGCTGCTATAGTCAATGCCTAGAATATTGCTAAGTCTATCCCTCACAGGTCCAGATATGTTTATGCTAAAAGCCAGGGTGGATTTGGACAAATTAATACTTTGACCTGATGCCTTCTCATAGTCCGAAAGAAGATTTTTCAAGTTGTTTGCTTCCCCATCAGTGGCCTTGAAGAAGATAAAACTGTCGTCGGCAAAGAATAAATGGCTGATAGATGGTGCATTCTTAGCCACTGAGATGCCATGAATATATCCTTTTCGCTCATAATCCCTGATCATTGCACTGAACCCTTCTGCCACTAAGATGAACAAATACGGAGAGATAGGATCTCCTTGTCTTAGACCTCGTTGTGGTAGGATGGGACCAATTTCCTGACCCTTATTAAGCACAAAGTAGGACACTATGGTTACACATTCCATGACAAGCTCAATCCACTTAGTATCAAATCCCAATCTGATCATGATATTGCGCAGCATAGGCCATTCTAGTCTGTCATAGGCCTTACTAATATCCAATTTGAGAGCTGCTAATCCCTGTTTCCCCTGAGTTTTCCTCTTCATAAAATGTTGCATTTCAAAAGCTAACATTATATTGTCGGTGATCAATCTGCCTGGAACAAAAGCTCCTTGATTTTCATAGACTAAACCATCCAATAAGGCTTTCAATCTGTTGGCCATGGCCTTGGCAAGAATTTTGTAAGCTACAGAGCATAAGGCGATAGGTCTAAGGTCGGCCATTGTCTCCGGAATGGTTTTTTTGGGTATAAGCACAATCTGAGTGGTATTAATATCCTTCGGGAGCTTCCCAGAACACAGAAAATTATTAGAGAAGCTAACCAAACTCTCACTTAAAATATCCCAGTAAGATTGAAAGAAACCTGGGTTGAACCCGTCAAATCCCGGACTCTTATCTGGATGCATACCGAACACGGCCTTCCTAATCTCAGAGACAGTGAATTTTCTTAAGAGCATATTATTCTGGGAGCTAGTGATGATGGGGTTTATACAGTTAATAACAGGATTGCAATCTCCAGCTTCCGAAGTGAAAATATTGGAAAAATAATCTCTTACCAGAGAATTCAGTTCTGGACCTTGTTGAACCCAATCGCCATTCTGATTGCGCAGTCTCATAATTTCGTTGTTCCTCCTCCTCTGATTAACTGCATTGTGGAAGAACTTAGTGTTGTTGTCGCCCCCCTTTAGCCAGAACAATTTCGCCCTCTGCTTCCAAAATTGATTCTGTTTATCCAGTAGCTTAAGGAATTGGTTCTGGGCCTCTGAGAACTCCTTCATACCAATATCATCTGTTCTGGGTCTGAGAATTCCCAAGAGTCTTTTGAGATTATCAATTTGAGGCTGCATGTTCTTGTTAAAATCTTTACCCCATTTCCAAATCTCATGACTGCACAGTTCGAATCTAGTGCTTAGTAGAAGACCTTCCGAACTAGTCCAACTTTGGTACACAATTTCACGACACTGAGCTTCCTTCAACCAGTAATTTTCAAATTTGAAACTTCTCCTTCTCCTTGTGCATGTTGAGGGTGACGGCCAGACAGCTAGAGGGATGTGGTCGCTGGACTGCGCCTCAAAAGATTCAGCTTTTGCTCCTTCGAATTTGTCGAGCCACGCATTGTTGACAAGAATACGGTCCAGTTTTTCCTTAATCCATTGAGATGTGCCTCTGCCTTTTTCCCAAGTAAGTTGATAGCCCTCGAAATGGTAATCCCTTAGCCCACTGAATTCGATTGCTTCTTTGAATCCTTGCATAAGCCACTGCGGTTGACGGGCACCTCCGATTTTTTCTCCAGGAAGAAGAATATCGTTGAAGTCGCCCATAAGCATCCAAGGGAGAGATGAGGCGAGAGATAAATTTTTGAGGAGGCTCCATGTGAGTTTCCTTCTGTGTCTCTCTGGATTCCCATAGAAACCTGTAAAGCGCCAGGTGGAGGGAGGAGAACATGGCTTGATGATGGCGTCAATATGATTAATGGAACTGTCTGTGATGTCTATATTTAAAGATTTCTTCCAGATCAAAGCAAGGCCTCCACTAGAGCCCACACAATCCACAGTAAATAAAAAATCAAAGCCCAAAGTTTTACGAATATCTTCCATTTGAACCGAACCAAGTTTAGTTTCCATCAAGAATAAAAGAACCGGCCTCTTGGTGTGGACCATGTCCATAAGAACTTGAACCGTCGTTGGGTTGCCAAGCCCCCGACAGTTCCAAGAGATAAAACTCATTGATTTAGGCGGGCCTGCGCCGCAGGTCCCGCCTCTAGCAGGTTTTTTGAGAGACTCGGATCAATAGCAGCCTTGAACAGATCAGTGGTCAAAGCGGAGTGCTCCGGGCCTTTTCTTTTTTTCCTCTGGTCAGGGCCACTTATAACTGGGCCTTGCAAACCGGGCTGGAATGTTGGGTCCATGTTGAAGTAAGGACTGGGAGTAGGTACCTTAGAAGAAACGAGCTCATTAAATTGGTTAACAGACAACTTGTCCATCTCAGCCGCATATATTTGACTTTGGGGTCTAAGGCCAGCTGT